CACTACATCGAATCTACATTGCCACCGTTTTGCTCTTGGATCATTCCACTATCAATACTATCCATACTATTCAGATACCCACTACACCAAATCTACCTTACTTTTCGCAAGCAACTCAACCCATTTTCAAAATGCCAGACTACATGCGAAGATATACCACCGATCATAGTACGAGTAGTAGAGGTTCCCGTCAGAGTGATGAATCCTCTCGAGAATCTCACAGTACAGCACCAACCTCCATATACAACAGTCCTCGACCATCAATTCATCAATATCAACCCGAGAGACCTATCTATTACCACAAAGAGTCGATAGATTTATCTCCCAGCGATATGTCACCCATAGATTATCCTCGCTCATCCCAAGAAACATATGCATCCACATCTGCATCCCAAGAAGATCTCTATGATGAACCCGAAAGCTATGATCCAGAGTACGACGTCCCGGAATATAAAACCGTGGTTGAAAGCAATCTGAGACCATCCACTGCTCAAGATTTCGCCCGATATTTCCCTTCCACAAAACGTCTCTACATTCGTCATGATGATACTTCATATGATGGAAATATGAATCTTCGCGTCGACACTGAAGATGGTCATGGGCAAGATAAAGAAATCATCCAACTCTTTCATCTGCGCATGCACGATCTCAAGAATCGCGAATTCAGTCTCCGTCGCTACGAACGCTCAAGTGGTCGCGAAGTATGTCACTCGAGTCGCAAATACGCCAAACCCACTGAGAGAAGACCTTCCGTCTTATCCCGTTCGGTCAGTAGTGCCTTTGCAAGTATACGCAAACCCAGCATTTCTCGACAAAACTCGACGACTTCGCCCACCAAACCTCCCATGGGAGGAGTTCAAAGACACGATAGCGGATACGCATCGAACTCCGAATCTGACTCGGATGTCGAAGCATTCATGGCTTCGAAAAAAGCAGCCGCCTCTTCCATCCCTACCAATACGACGAAACTCGAATTCTCAAATTATGCGCAAATCGAAGTTAAGCGTCGAGGCGCAAAATCGCAAAAGAGATATGAGTTTGAATATTGGGGATACTCGTATTCATGGAAACGAGTAGTAGAGAAAGATGGCGAGGGAAAAGCGATCTCGTATCATTTGTTCAAAGGAGATTCTGGTAATGCGGTAGCGCATATCGTGCCGGAATTGCGATCGAGAGATCAAATTCGAGAGGAGGAATTGGTGGGGGGTTGGGTCCCACCGTGTCAAATGTGGATTAGTGAGAAGAGTGTCGTGGAGAAGGTTACGGATGTTGCTGAGTAAGTTTTAATTCTCCATCCGATCAATCAAATCCAATCATCATGAATCTAACCCGTAACTCCAGCGTTATTATCTCCACGGGTCTCATAGCCCTCGTCGACGATAGCATCAAAAGACATTTCCAACCTAAACCCACTTCTTCTCATCCCAATTCTCACTCCAACTCCTACACCACATCCACATCCCCATACACAAGCACACCCACACCCTCCCATCCTAATACCCACTCCCAAGCTCTCTCCTCCCGCTCTTCACCCCGCACCCTCCCTCTCCCTCCCCTAAACATGAATCTCGAATTTGTCGGTCCCCGCGCTATGGTCGAACACATGTTCAAAAGACGCAACTCGGGGAGCTCGAGTAAATCGAAAGAACACGAGGAGAAGAGAAAACATTCGCCGTTGAGATATGCACAAGGTGCGGGGTTTGGGAGAGTATGATGAAGGAAAATATGATATCGACAGTTTTTATAAATACAGATGCAAATGCGAATGCGAATACAGATTTGGGAATCACAGTACCGGCCCGGGGTTTAAGTTTCTGGGTGGGCTCTTGGGATTGGGTTTGGTTTGATTTGGTTTGGGTTTGGGTTTATTTTCTTTGATTGGGGGGTTGGGGATGGGGATTAGGATCGGTTGTGGATGTTTTTGTTTTCTTTTTCTTTCAAATATACTTTTCATGGAGGATTTATGATTATGATTATGATGATTTGGATTTGGTTTTGGTTATTGGATTGAATGGATGGATATGATATGAAAGGATAGGATGGAATCTCAAGAAACGGGAACGAAAGAAACTAGTAATGATAGGATGAATAGGATAGGATAGGATAAGATACCTACTAGGTATACAGTACATATATGTATGAATGACAATATTGGATGAAGAATATGATATAACATCATGGGAATGAATGGATCATGAATGATGAATGGTGTTGGATAACTTAAATGCTTGCTTTTACTTTGATATGTTTCTCTCATCTTCTTCATAGTATGCCATCTCATCCCATCACACCTCTCACAGCAGCATGAAAAATCAAATCACAATCTACTAATAATTATAGGTAGGTAGGTAGATAGACGGGTGCCTTATATTATTTAAATTCCTAACCTAATTTGATCTATCTAATCAACTGAATCAGCTTATAAAAACCAGAATATACCTCCATCATATACCTATCTATATTATGTACCTCCCAACTCATTCACCACAGGCATTCCCAAACCCCAAAAACCATCTCAAACCCTGATCTATATCCAAAGTCATCTCCAAAAACAAAAACCAGAAAATACATTCATATACAAAGTGCAAACCCCCAGTACAAATTCCCACTTCTATTTCGGACCTATTGTTCTGTCTCCTTAGGGAGACTCTTTCCCCTTCTCATTCTTATAATTCTTGTAAGTATATCTAGGTACTTGATATAGAATCGAGATCTCATTTTCTTCCTCTTGTCTCTCTTTCTTTCATTCTTCCTTTTTTATTCTAAACATAAACACTTACTTACTCATCTTCAATTCTGATTCCAATTGAGGAATAGAATAGTTAGAATGGAGTAAAAGTAAAGAATGTAGAAGAGGATATAATTGAATTCTAGTTTCAATCTTAATCCTAATCCTAATCCTAATCCTAAACTCCAAATTCTAAACCCAAATTCTAAACTCCAAACTTTGAATCTTATATCCCATTTCATTCCATTCACCACACATCTCACTTCCTATACATAATCAAATAAGTATCTCTAGACTCTAAAGCCTGAACTCCAAACTCCAACCCTCAAACCCCAAACCCAAAACCCTCTCATCAATCAATCATAACTATAACCACAATCTAATATCCACACCCAGATCCATATCCATATCCAGTCACATCTCTATTCATCCCTATCTATCTATTCACACCTTATTTCCTTACTTCCTTACACAAATTTGAACAGTATATTTATTGTATACTCCCCCTTTCCTTTCCTTTTCCTCTTTCCTCTTTCCTTCCCCTCCTTCTCCAATCTCCAATCTCCATATATCTTCCCATATTCCACCCATCCATCATCCTACTCATTCTACCCATTCACTCAAAAACCAAAACCGAATCCAAAACCAAATCCAAATCCAAATCCAAATTATCTTTCCTTCCCCCTTCCCCCTATCCCACCTCAACTTCTCAAATCCACTCACTACCTATTCATCCCTTTGAACATCCATTCTCTATTTTCTATCATCCTTTCCCCTCCTCCCTTTCCACTTCTTCCCCTTATCCTTCATCCCTCATCTCTCCCCTCCCTTCTCATTCTTCAAAATTCCAATCCAATCCAACACAATCCAACAAACCACTCCCTCAAGCTCCCTCTCTTTCTCCCCCCTCATTCTATAAACCCCAACTCTAACCAATCCAACCCAATCCAACCCAATCCAACCCAAAACTATACCAACCTAACATCAATCCCAATCCCAATCCCAATCCTATTACTAAATCACTAATCTCAATCCCAATCCCCAAACATCACACAACGACTTGAACACTCCAATCTCAAAGTCCAATCCCAAAGTCCAAAAACCAAATCCTTCCTTTCTCATCTATCTACCTACCTACACATATACACAACTCGATCCTACCTACCTGCCTACCTGCCTGCCTACCTACCAACCTACCAACCTACCAACCTACCTACTCACTTACTCACCAAACACTTACTCACCAAACACCCAATAAACAAACAAACAAGAACCCTCACACATCAACCTAGATATCTATCCGAACACAAATAAACCACTTCAGCTCAAAAGCTACAAAACAAGCTCTTTCGAACAGCCCCCTTATTAAAGTAAAGGCCGATCCTCTGGAGGTGAGCTAGCTCTTTAGACAAACTACCATGGAGATATGGAGGACCTACACTTGACTTGGTAGGTGCGACACCTTGTGTGTCCTTCTCAAATCAATAACAATAACAATAACAATAACCATGTCAAAAGTCAAAAGTCAAAAGTCAAATAAATGATAAAGAATATATAAAAATGCATTATGTATCTGAGTTCTCTTCCTCTTCTTCCTCTTCTTCCTCTTCTTCCCCCTCCCCATCCCCCCTTCTCCCGCCTTCATCCCTTGAATCCACTATTTGATCCATCCACCATCCACCCTCCACCCTCCATCATCCATCCTACCCCGATTCCGCATTCCCACTTCCCCTCCCCTCCCCTCCCATCTCAACAACTACCAAACGAATATATAGCGATTGAAGAAACACACATCCATAAATATGCACGCCTACAGCCCATAAAAATCAGTAAAAATCCACTCTACCAAATTTCACTCTCCATTTCACACCCTTTCCACATCCATCCCCATTCACATCCCCAATAAAAATCAAAAAGAGGAAGAAGACAACTCTCACAAAATAAGCTATCATTATCATTGCCATTGCTAGTGTATCATAATAAACCTAAAATCCTCAAACCCGATGATCAGAAGAGAAAAACACAATACTAAAATCGCAAAAGATATTTTTTATAACGCTCAATCAACACAATCCTATTTCACTCCCACCAAAATGAATCCCACGTAACCCAATGTAGTAAAATCACCTCGATTCATTCCAATCAAACTCCCACTCCTCCATTCCTTCAAAATAAGGAATGATGTTAACGAGGAGGCTTCTCATTCATTAATCTATCCATTGATGCAATTCCTAGTGAACCTTTCATTTCAAGGTTCAACTACCGTACACCATTAATTCCAAGCACCAGGATGTCTCTCAACGACTTGAACCCAACTATTTTGAGGCTGCGCTCCAAATTGTGGAACATTCCAAGGTTGAGATACATCATTGAATGATTGTGTAAAGTTTTCCATGGTATTTGTGTTCATTGAAATACTTTCCAAATCATCAATCCATGCATCAAAAGGTAAAATGCTAGCAGTTGGATCTCGATTCCATCCTGCTTGAGTACCCGGTGGTGCCATATTATGAGGTTGAGGAGCCATTGGAGGATGATATTGCCCCATTTGCTGAAGTTGGTTATAATTTTGAGCTTGTCCTTGATTGCTATAGGGAGAATTGATACTTGATGCTGAATCACCATTCCCTGGACTAATCAAACTAGGTGGATTCGAATTTTGATTGGGGCTTGGTTGATAAGCTCCATTTGGTATATATGGTCCGCCAGGACCTTGTTGCATCTCCATGCTCATGTTGTTATTGGAGGCATTGATTGGTGCCCAATTGGAAGGTGGTCTTGATCCACTTCCTTCGACACCTTGCATTGGCTCGCCATTAGGATTGTTAGCAGCCGTAGTGGAACCAAGATCGCTGGTGCTACATCGAGAGTTGCGATTGGGATAATCATCAGAGTGAGAATCACCTCCCGCAGCATCTTCCAGAGTACCAAACTCCTTTAAATCTTTCTCGAAAACCTTCCACTCATCCAATCCACCACCTTTCCATGAAACATCTTTCTTATATCTCTTGAATTCATTCTTCACGAGTTTGTAATATTTCATCATCTGTTCAATTCTTTTATGGTAAGCTTTAGCCATGGTTAACCTTGGCACCATATCTTTCAGAATCTTGATAGGTAAAGCGGATCGACTTTCACCCATATAATCGTTAGGATCCATCTGTGGAAAATGAACAGAGTAAACACCCGTGAACGCTGAATGGAAAAGAGCGAATACAAATAATGGTGATTCTGGCAAAGCGTTATTATCCTGACAAGTTCTCATAATATCAACAATATCTCTGGCCGATGAGAAAAGTGAGTCGGCACTCTGTTCCCAAAATCCTTCGGGTATATCGAATTTCTCTTTTGGAAATGTTGGCTCATCCAAAGGACCTGAAGGCTTATCAGCTCGAAGAGGAATGAACGGTATATATTCTCTGTGGAGCATGATTCGACATAACGAGACAAGAGTGTGCAAACTTGCATACGTGGTAGCATTTCGTTTTTCCAAATGTGCATTCAGGTTGTCCTCGGAAAAGGTAAGGTTCTCTGGCAAGGCGCTGTAGAAATCTTCCAATTCATGTGACAGTTTGTAGAATTGTGTTGATTCATCCCACGGTGGTAGGGTTTCAGTTCGGCGACCTCCATGAAGACTCCACTTTGAAAGTTTACCCCAAATTTCAACCAAACGACAATACCTGCTGAGTACTCCACCTTCTTGAATTTTGACATTTGACAAAGTAGCTTTCTCAAAATCTCGATTCAAGTAACCAGTTTGGACTGATTGGGTGAATAAGAATTGATCGTCAGAACATGGTAATTGTACTCGGAGGGTATCAGACTCAACCATCGTAGGTCTAGCCTTTCCAGCGGAAAGCATCCGATCCATGATAAAGCAACTCCAAAAAGTACGTCTCCTCACTTCCTTCTCAATGGCAGTATCACGTGCTGGACTCTTGTTCACCTCTGGTCGGTATGAACTCGCGGTGGTTACCGTTTCAGGCTTGAACGTTCGAGCCGATGGATCATCCTCGTAGGGGAGACCCATTGCTTGTGCTAGTCTGGTCGCAATACCTACGTACACCCAAGCGCTAAGGCCTCTAGTTTGACCCCACTCATAAAGACCAAGCATTAAGAGTGCCTGGATCCTTTCGGTGGTAGGAGTGCTTAGATCTTTACCCGCAGCTCCAAAAATGGTTGAGGTTAAAGCGGTTGCGTAGTAATCGCTTGCAGCCAATGGGTCATTCGGTCGAGGGGAATTTGCCGGTGCGTGATATGCGACCAACTCGGGATGAAATCGGGCAGTGAGAGTCAGTACGCCTAACAACAAAATCTTGGCATCTTGAAAGGCGGGCATGTCGGGGAGTGAAGTAGGGTCTCGTGGATGCGATGCTTGACGCATGCGATTTCGAAATGATGGAGGATGCAAGAAAGGCATCTCGGTTGAGAAGTTCAACTTGAATATGTCATAGACCTCATCCCAAACCTTTCGTGTTAATATGGTAGCCTCCAAAGGTTCTTCTCCTTGTCGTTGACTATTTCTGCGACCGGAATCTTCATGCTTTCGAACTCTCTTCTTACTATCACTTTCTCCTTCCACCTTTATTCCCATGGGCGGATCGGTTCTCTTGGGTGTAGAAGCTGCGGCACTTGGATATGTACATTCTCGGTTCGAGGACTCACAAGCCCTGCATATGGAATTGACACCATTGTTGACACCTGGGCGTGAAATTAGTTCAGGTCCCGAATAGACGTGAGATGCACTTCACTTACATTTTACCTTGCTCCGTCTACATCGTGCGCAAGCTATACTAGATCGTACCACTTCACATCAAATAAATCAGCATGACCATATCTTTGACGAATAGCAGAAGCTCACGATCCACTTACTCTTTGCCGGCTTCTTCTCCTCTATCCCACTTCGGCCACCACCACTACCATCATCAGCCCCTAAACCACTGGCGCCTAATGCGCCGGGACTGGTAGCTCCGACAGACGATATATTGGGCCGATGTTGTTTTGGTGAAGCGGGATGGAGATAGGTTGGATCGTTGGCAGAGGAGAAAGCTTCGGCGTGTGAACGTTTTGGACTAGATGATCGCGAAACACCAACTGCCGAATCGGAGTCAGGTGGTGCAGAAGGCGAGAGTATCGCGGCGAGAGAGTGAGGTGAGGGAATGTTTGCGGTTGGGGGGTCCCTTGAGACCCTGAACTTGTTGGTAGAAGGAGCTTTTTAATATTATTTCTTAAAATGGCTTAGAAAGAAACCCAAAATCAAGTTACTTTCTCATTCAGGAGAAGAAAGATTGGAGGGATGGCTGGGTTGGTGCAGAATGGGTGGGAGGGTGCTTGGTAGCCCTTCAGAGTTGTAATCGTCCACGCTGTAATAAGTATCGCTGGTGTGACGGCGAAGCGAATGCCGCAGATGCAATGCGAGTTTCCGGTTCAAGGAATACAAAGTAACTTTGACATGAACGATTGGACCATTAAAAGGAAGAATATAGGGATATATTGATTGATTTGTTTGGAAGAAGAGAAGGGTGAGGAAAAAAGGAATCGAAATGATCGAATGAAGAAATATAAAATTTAATTTGTATTGTATTTATGAAATATTGTGATGGATATTCTGGTATTTGGCTGGGGGTTTACACAATAATATGTAGGGTGGATGGGTGTGTGAATGGTTGGTTGGTTGGTTGATTGAGTGATTGATGATTGAGTGAGTGAGTGATTGATTGAATTGATCGATCGGTCCAAACTTGGAATGTTTTATTGTTGATGGTTGATTTCGATGTTGTTGAGGTTTTGTACTTGAGTATTGTTGTACTTTTGTTGTACTTTTGTAGGTACTTATTGAGGTTGAGAGTATAATAGTCAATCGTGAGTGGTAAGTGGTGAGGGGTGAGGGGTGAGTGGTGAGTGGTGAGTGAACAATAAGATGTGTCTGTCGTTGTTGTTGTTGTTGGTATCCTGTTGTTGGTATCTTTCTCTCTCTCGCTCTCGCTCTCGCTCTCTTTCTTTGAAATTCACGGATGAGGACGGGATGTGAAGGATGAAGCGAAACAAGAGGGAGCTTTGATTTTCGGTCGGTGGGTGATTAGTGTGGGTGGTGTGGGAAGTGTGGGTGATCGGAGTGAAGGGAACTTTCTTGCTTGAAGATGTGGATCTTTTGGCTGTGATTTGCGGGAACCTGGCGAAGCTGGAACGGAAAGGAAAGGAAGTTTATGGGTGATGACTGATGACAATCGTATAATTTGGGTTCCCACGGCCGTAGGTAGGGGTACGAATGGCGGAAGGGAAAGGGTATGAATGGCGGAAAGCGTACGAGGCTCGCGAAGGTATAAATTATAAGGACGTACACCGAGTAATGAGTGAATGATGTTGGGTTTATTTTTCAAGTAAGACAAGAGGATGGATTCACGATGGATTCACGATGGATTATAAGATTGATAAAGTTGATTGATTGATTGATTGATTGATTGATTGATTGATTGATTGATTGGTTGGTTGATTGATTGATCGATCGATCGATAGATAGATGGTTGAATTGAATTGAATTGAATGATCAAGTATGGTATCATCTCCTTTCTTCCCGTAAGCATTCTTCAAAGTGCGAGTCGGGTTGAAAAGAATGGAGAGCGTTGCAATGCGGACGGGAAAGAATGGAGCCGAAAAATGGTATGGTCGCTCGAGTGGAATTCCCTTGTTTCTTTTCATCTGGAACCTTCTTCGAGTCCTCGTCGTCGCTGTTTTATTTTTTTTCCTTGGGTAGATATTGATCGTATATCTTCTCACCTATCTTACCTAATCCCTCTTACTATCTTGGATGGTTGTTAGATGATAGTAATCGGTATTTACCATTTACCACACCACATACCCATACCGGCACAATACGATTATCGCAAGACTGATCACTGGTGGGTGGAGCGCTGGAATGGCCAGAAAGATCCGAGCAAAATGCCACTGAAAAGGCGATCTCGGCCGGAGAAAAGAGAGAAACGTAGTCGTAAGAGGAAAGAGTAAAAGGTTTAAAGTTGGTTTGTCATCCGATAATTTGAGGAAAAATGATTGGAATCGGCTTTTAGTAATGATTGTCGGCCGATAGGCAGGTGGTAGGTGGATAGGATCCTATGAGGAGGATAACGGAATTACCTGACAGTTGGAAATATATATATATGGCAATTTGAATGAATAATATGACAATATGACAATATGATAATAGGTTAATATAAATAAGAGATGATGATTTGATTCATCATCGGTCTAACAGCTTTGTTATTCAGCCACGGTGCATTTATCTACCTAGGTGTGCAGACTACTCGAGTAATTGAATGCAATCAAGTATAATTCATTGTAAGATGCCAGCCGTATCACAGAAGTTACTCAAAATGTATCTACTTCAACTATCTACTTCAACTATCTACTTCAACGATATGCAGTTCGATAATCATCAGCAGTACAAATCTCTCCCTAATCTACATATGTAAAGGACAATAGACACACCCCCTTCATTGCATGAATATATACATTATCTGTAGAACTTCACATGTAATTACTAGGTAGGTACTAGGTAGGTACTAGGTATTTGAAGATTTTTCATATATGGCTCTCTCATTATCTTCTTCTCTCCCATCATCTTCCTCTACCTCTACCTCTACCTCTCCCCTTCTTTCCGTCAATCCTACATTCACTACCCCAATTAAAAAGTAAATACATTCCATCTTCTCTCTTGTCCCCCAAAAGAAAGGTAAAGAAAGACTTTTGATCTCAACAAGAAGACGTCAACATATATCATGAAACCCCTTCCGCTTTCCGGTCTAGCAATGGCTTTACCCCTCTCCACCATCCTCCGTATCCAGTCTGGAATCTCAGGAAAATACTCGGAGCATCTTGCACCAGATATCACACACAGACAATCTAGGAAAGATAATCCCACAATCTATCTCTACCACCTACCTACCTACCTACTCCTCCGTACATTCATTCACTCCTCCCCAACGTAAGATGGCTACCTCCGTGCACCCAACCGATCGTACAATGCATTGTGTTCTTTCTTCTTGCTCCATCTTCACTCTTATGTAATACGTTGTGCTCACAAGCTACCCGCCTCGGCGTGGATCAAACTTATTCTTATTTTGGGGTTTCGGATCTTCCTCTAAAGAGAGATATCCTGGCTCCGGAGGGGTGAGAATCAAGGGTTCGGTGCTCGATAATTGGTTGAGTAAAGTTGGGCGTGGACGAATGATGTTGTTCATTCCCCATTATATAAGTATTTGAAATGTATAGTATTCACATACCGTACATGAGTCTAGACTGATGAGTGATGAATCTGAGATCCCGCCATGTGAACGAATCATCTTGGAATCAATGATGTGATGTGCTTCACGAGTCAATCAATATCCTAGTTCGTGTTGTTAGTAAATTTCACCTCCCTCCTAGGTACTTTCCTCAATTTTAGAAAAAAGAAAATCAGATGCGGGGGAATCCAGATCATCGTTTTGACTCGAGAACCCCTACTTGTCCTACTTTGCACTAGATATGCGACTTGCGTCTACATTGATCAACGTATTCGGGATGGAGAACACTCCTTGCGTGACTTGAAATGTTGATATGGGTACGATGCTTGACTGAAAAGCATCCATGTGTCACGTCGACATGTCAGTTTGTTCACCCAGTCTATCATGTCCTGCTATCCCGTGAGAGATGGAGATATCTTGAACCCTTTGAGCTATCATGTTAGAACGAGACAGGACCCAGATGAGAAATTTCAAATCTACAAGGCATAACTACAACATATGTTCACTCCACACCACAACCGTTTGCCGTTCCAAATTCTTACATACATGTGAATAAGCATCTCAAACCATGGATTCGAACGGTTTCGCTTTGCAATCCTTACCATACCTAGATACTGTATTCATCCGGATCACCAGATTCCCCATCGAAAAATCCCCTCCACATAAATGTTTCAATGCTGACAACTCGGCTCGATTCGATACGTCGTGTTCATGGTTTGGTATCACATACAGCGGGCAACGGAGGTATTAGAGCATAGAGTACAGTACATAGCCAACGAAACCCACCTGCCTCTTCTCTTGCATATCTGCTTGCATCTCCAAAGCTGCTGTCAGAATAACATAATATGCAAGTAAAGTCTTGAGCGTAGAGACTCGAGAATCTTACGCTGCAGAATCCCTCCTCTTTCTGGCTAAATAGCACACTGCAATAATCAACCCATGTTCAAACATCCAATTGTGTAGCATATACCTACTGTCACCATATCCCCCATTCACGCATGCCATTCAGTTGTGTAGCATGAAATTCCGCATCACCCCCAGCCCATCCAAGACCCCAACTGCAAAACATACATATTCATTCGGAAGTAACAAGTCCAAGGAGGAAACCCCATCGATAACCCATAACAATATCGTGACATACCAAGACTGTTGCGTAACTCGCAACTTCACCCGTGCGTGTACATACATTGAATATAAATATAATTAATACCTGTCGGTCTCTTGAGCTTGTATACCCAATTCGGGGATTCAATCCTCTCCCCACATCCATGGATACGCAAGACATCTCGAGTCCTCTCCTCTCCCTGATGATGTACGCAGGGGATGAATTGCATCTCTTTGGTCCCCGTTCTCTCTTCTAGGAATATCTCCTATATCCCGTCGCGTTGTGTTGCGTTGCTTCGGGAAAGAATCGAAGAAGAAAAGGACGAAATTACCTTGCGTCGATGCCTGACCTGAATGACACTCCCGCTCCATGCTTTGAATGTTTGAATGGTGGGGTGATCGCTTTGATACGACATGGCATGGCGTTGGAGAAAAAGAAATCACACCCTTAAAAAGATCATGGAGTTCTCAACAACACGGTGTGAAGAATGAGAACAAATGCTAACTAATCAATTTCTTAAAATAACATCAGAGGAGTGAAATCGATGATCACTAGATACATTATCGTGAAGAGCGCTTTTCGTGTTGTACGCAAAATAAACTCGCAAAATTACTGGATTGAGCTGCTTCTCATGTGTTTCTTTTTCCATGTAAGATTTTAACCCATTTTGCTTGGAGTAGCTCAGCCACTTTTTTCAGCCATACATGAACTATCAAACCCTTTATCAAGATTTGAGATTTGGTGCGAGGTGAGAGGTGCGAGGTGAGAGGTCAGTGGTGAATCCAAGATTTCATCTAAAGTCTCGATTCATGTTTAATTCGTGGAAGATACAATGTGTGATATATTACTATGTATTTACACATTCGTAAGTTCATTCAATACTTAATCGCAAGTATGCGTTCCCAAGATAAACATCGAGTGGAAAGCCTTGGAGGATGATCTCTCGCCTCAGCCACTTTACACATTCACCGCAACACTTTCAGGAAGGAGGGGCAATGGTAAACGCCCTGATTTTGATATTCCTTGTACGTCATCGCCATTGGCTCTGTTGCATGTTCTCTTGGCTACCACCAAACTGTTTGAAGCGCGTAAGATCTTTTGAATAACCGCCCTCCTTAAGAGTGGTGATTAGATTTCATTCTTTGAGAAAGTTAAGTGTATTTTGTTCTGGAAATAATAAATCCTGCTGTCTTCATCTCCATCTTCATCTTCATCGGCTTCTTCGTATTGGAATCCCCCACTGTACAGGGTAGTTTGTTGATTGCAAAGATACGATATTCTGGTAGATAGGATAGAGGCTATTGATCCTTCATTGTTTACAAACGGCACCGATTTTCTACAAAGTAGATCTCCTACAGTTTCGCTCACGCGAGATATCAAGATGGCATCAGGACATAATGTAACACCTCTTTCACCCTTTCTCTAATTTCCCATTCGCAGATTCTAATATCACATAGGACCCGAAGCTTCTCTATGCCATCAATGGCATCAATGCATATCACATCGAAAATGGCAAAGAAGAATCTCTCACCCCAAATGGACCTCAAACCCTCTCTCTCCTCATGGTCCCTACCTCTTCCCCCTTCTCCGGTCTCTCAATCGCAGATCCTCAATCCCAAACCCCAGAAGAAGACTTCTATCTTCATCTCCATCTACCTCCCGAGCTCGATCTTCCTCTCCCAGCTACAACCCAAATCTATCACCAACCACCCAGCAGCTACCTAATTCCACGATGGGACTTGGGACCCGACAGTGGCGTCTTTACCAAGATCGAATTCCCAATCGTAGGAGCATCGAAGATTAACCAAGATGATGTCGATACTTTTGAAACTATATTGGCTCAGTGTACAGCTTTCCTAGAGCGTGCACCACCTCCACAATCATCTCGCCCGAAGAAAGAAAAGGCGAAATCTACAAAGGAACCCTTGCCTGCGTATAATCCGTCGGATTTTGCGCCAGGAGAAGCTTATGTTTCGGGAAGTGCGAGTTCTCATGCGGGTGGACAGATTGTTTTGGTGGATGAGGAAAATGGTAGCGTGGTTGGTGAATTGGGAGAAGGGTTTCATGTGGTTGAAGATGCAAAAATGAAACCGGGATCGAAAGGTATGTATATTGTTTCTGGCCTTGTAACCTCATTCGCGTTTCTTTCTTCATATCTCTAACAACCTCTATAGATCCAGTCGAAATCACTCTTCCCCAAGATGGCTCCCTCAACATTGGCGTCGCCCCAGCATCTCCTGCTTACCTCGAAATGGCCATGCACCCCGCCTACAAATCCTCCAATCTCGTCTCCACAGCTGCTATGGCCTCCCGTCTCATCGTAACAACCTCCAGCTATGTTTCTAAAACCCTTACATCTCAAGCCGACAACTATACGACGAAATCCGCTCCCACCACTAAACCCATGACGTTTACTCCCACCACTCACGCTCACATTCGCAAGGTTCATACCTTTACCGAAGGCGCCGCTGGTCTCTCTGCAAAAACCGTAGGACAGGTAACAAAATACGCACAAAACATTGGTGCCACTCTCGCAAAACGTAACCAGAAAGCTCATAAAGGAATCGGTCCAGATGGTAAGCCGGTGGATAATTACAAACCGGGCATTCTCAATAAATCCATGATGGCTTTCTCTACTATCGCCGATGGCATTGATCAAGCGGGTCGTAATCTCCTGGCTTCGACATCCACAGCTGCTACTACGGTGGTGGAACATAAGTATGGACCGGAAGCGGGTAATATTTCTCGTAATATCGGTGGTGGGGTCATGAATGTGGGATTGGTTTATATTGATGCGACGGGTGTGAGTCGAAGAGCCATCGTGAAGAGTGTAGCGAAGGGAATGGTGGTTGGAAAGGTGAGAGGAGGGGTGATTTGATTGTTGGAGGAGGTGATGGTGGTGCGGCGATTACGCAGGGAAGTAGTTCGCAGAGTGTGAGTGGAAGTGTGACGCCTAATGAGAAGGGGAGGAAGAATGGGGGAGAGGCGATCATGAGTGGTGGGAGTGGGAGGGTTTCGCCGGAGGTGGTGGGGTTTGGGAGAAGTGCGAGTTCGCAGAAGTTGGGGGTGGGAGAGAGTTTGAGTGGTCAGAATGTGGGGGGGAAACGATAGGGTGGATGGATGGATGGGGGGGGAGAGAGGGAGATAGAGGGGTTTGGTGGAAGAGGCTAGCTTAGCCGAGGAATTAGAGAGGGGATAGGGGATGCGGGGCTGCTAAGGGATAGATGGTGGGTGGTTAGTTTAGTTTAGTTTAGTTTGGCAGTACAACAGCGGTCGGACTCGCTACGATGTAGGTATCGGTGGGGAGAATAGGGGTGGGAATAAGGGGAATGGAATGGGATCAGATAGAGTGAGCAAGATTTGATTGATATAGATATTGATATTGATATTGATAGGGTTGGTAATGGCGGGATGAATTCTTATGAGTTGATATGGTATGTTATGATTTGAAATGATGAGATGGGATATGATATGATGGGACATGATGTGAATCATGGATTTAGTTGTACCTTGTTAATAGCGGGATGAAATGAGGAGATGATTATGAGATTTTGATTTTATGATTGTGTTTACGTGGGTTTGTGATGTGGTGTGATGTGGTGTGATGTGGTGGTGGTGGAATGGTGGTGTAATAGTGATTTGATGTGAGAGGGTTACAATTTGATGGTGATGATGGTGATGATAGTGATGATAGTGATGATAGTGATGATAGTGATGATAGTGATGATAGTGATGATAGTGATGATAGTGATGATAATAATATAAAAACTTTAGATAATTACAAGAGTTTGTGTGTATATAGTTTATGATATAATAGTTATTGAGTGAGATATAGTGGTTGTGATATATGGATATGATAGTGGTGAAGTGAGGTGAGGTGAGGCGAAGTGATGGTGGTGTATGGGATATAGTATTATTCTTGATTGTTTATTATACGTAATTTTTCTTTGTTCAAATTAAGGAGTGTTGTGAATGTGGGTGTGGATTTGGATGGGAAAGGAGGAGGAATGGGGATGGGAGGAGGAGAAAAGGGAATAGGGGAACAGGAGAAGAATTTGGGATGAGAGAGGATTGGAATGATGAACGATGAATGATGAATTTTGAAATGTGAAATGTGAAATGTAAGAGGGGATTTGAAGATTTGGGATTGATGAATTGGTGTGTTTCAATTTGGGAGATAAGTCTATGATATAGTATACTATACTGGGTTGTAAGTTTGGGGATTTGAGATCTAGAGGAAGAGATGAATAGACAAGATACTCTAGAAAGATAGCATGGGTAAAAATCCGCAAGTCTATCATGCTTCGATAGATTTGGATAGGTCGAATGACTATACCGCGGATTACTATTGGTACCGAATTATTTCTCAGAGGTATAGTGGTCTCTCTTCCTTTCTCACGATGCGAATTACGGGCTTCGAAGAAAAGATAGGAGGGATCTCGCGTATACTTGCTTTCATTCTCTGTAATTTATTATCGGGTTCCTTATTTCTCCGAGGAACCTCGAGAGCGATGGATTTGGGGTTTCTTTGATTGCTGTCTTCTTCACTCCTTCTCTGGAGACTCTCCCCGCGAAGATAAAATTTGTTTAGTTGCTTATTATGTATACATGTATAAATGCACAAACTAGGCATGCATGCACCAAACTCATGATTTAAATTCAAGTTCACATTCAAATAGATGGTTGGAATTAAAGGGTTAAAGATTTTGGATTGTGGTTGTCAGAGAATCTTTTTGTGGCGTTGTTGCGAATATGGATGTGGATGTGGATGGGGATGGGGGTGTGCTGAGAGATTTGAGGTTGTAGACAGGTATGTATATATATGTATATATGTGTGTGTGTGTGGTGTTTGTGATTTGTGATTTGAGGTTGGTAAGATTAGTCGGATTATACTGCTGTGAGGAATCGTTGGGAGTGAGGATTAGGAGTGAGGATTCTCTTCTCTGTGGACGAGGGGGGAGGGGAGATGTAGGGGAAGTGTAAGGGACGAGGGAAAAGTAGGGGAAGTGTGATGAGATGAATCAGGGTTAGATTCTGGGAGCAGGGTAGGAGAAAGGAGTTATAAAATGAAGCCGGAGGAGAAAAGAATCGGTGCTGTGAGTCGGAAGCTGGAAGTTGGAATTTGGGAGATTGAGTTGGATTTTTCTCGACTGGGTGTTGGGTATGGGAGTAATTAGCGGGTACCTAGTAGGAATGAATGTAGCTCAGAGGAAGGAAGATGTTTTGAATGCTACCTAGGTATGCGTTGAAAGTGTGGTGGGACGATTGATGGAGATTGGATATATGAAGGGACCTCGGATTGGAATGGAAGGATATCAAGCGATATTGAAGAGATGAGGGTAAGTTGTTCCTTGTGGATTAGAAGTGATGACTGGATTAGGAGAAGTAGGAAGTGAATGGGATAGTAAATGGTTGATTGGATAATAAGAAGTTTGTAAATAGTGAGAAGATGTCATTGGGAGGTGAATGAGACGAATGACGATAAAGGTAATGTTTAATGTGGAAAATGTTTGTCAGTTGTTAGTTATCAGTAGGTATGATCATCACATGAAAATTCAAGTGCTCACCAACTACATCAAACAAAGTTCCCACGATGATCATTTGGCATGCTTTTTTAGTATAAGACTCCCTTGTAACCCTAGGTATAGAAAGGTTTTGTATCTTTCATTTAATCTCATAAAATCACTTCTCTTTTGAATCTAAAAAAGAAAAGAAAGAATCTCATAAATCGGGGAATTCTACAACCTCTACCTCGGAATATCCCTCCCCTTTCAACAATCCCACAATGTCAAACCTTTTCCACCCATATGATCCCGCGTTATGGGGGACCGGGATTCCAAAGCCTTCAAATTCCCTAGGTCAGGACAAAGATCAAGATCAAGCGCAAAATGAGGAGAATAAGAAGGACAAGGAAATTGAGGATAAGAAAATTGAGGATCGAAAAGCTTGGGAACAGATTAAAACACAAGTAGATGTTTTAGGAGATATAGTGAGGAGGATTAGACAGAAGGATGAGATGAGTTTGCAGGGGCTTAAGAGGGAACTGGAGGGGATAGAGAGAATTGTGGGGATGTTGGGGAAGTTGTGTAGGGATATGTTGGGGGAGGAGTTAGAGGGGGGTGAGGAGGATATCGAGGATGAGGCGGATCAGATAGACAAACTCCGGAGACATGGGAGACGGCAGAGATGGGAAGATGAGGGAGACTAAGGACGAGTAGGTGGTGGGAGTAGGTTATAGAATGAATTGGTCACTTTGAGTGGTGTTGTGAGGAAGGAAGGGAGACAGGTGGGATGGGAGGATGACAAAGCTTTCCTTGTTCTAGGAGCGAGCCAAGTACGACGTAGATGAAATCATACGGCAGTTACGAAGTACTTACTAATAAGAAGTTGAGAAAAATTAAAGGGGGAAGGTTGATTGTCTAACAATTGCCGAGTAATTGATAAGCTGCCAATGATTTATCCGTAGGCTCTTGAATATATCGTACCTTTAAACTTTCCTTCATATCCTGATTTGTTGTATCATCAGCTCGACATCAGCCCTTTCTATCTATCTTCCATGATTCTCAGGTGCTCCCTGGACTTAGAGGCCCTGTTCTGAGTGATATTCTTTATTAAAAGTCTTCGCAAATTCTCATCTGCTCCTGAATTCTGATATTGAATCATAGATCAAGAACTTGATCAAAATACAATTTCCAGTTGTATATTATAATTGACCACAGAAGAATTGTGAGGATGGTTGATTTAGCGAGCACGAAAACTGTGAGTTACATCAACTTCGCTACGACTGTAATAAATGCATATTTTAGCTATCATTCATAAGTCTAGAAAGTGGTTCAAGTCGCACCTTCTTATGTGATTTCCTGTATACTCATTCTAGTCGTGCTTTCCCCTCTCTTAACACCATCCCATAAAAGATCAAAATAAACAAGGATAAAGACTATCCTCAATCCTGTTATTGTATACTTCATTCATAGTATACACTTCGTTCATATTGTATACTTCGCTTCATCTATCTGTTATTATAGACTTCACTCATAATATACCGCTAGTATTGTGTTCTAGGATCATTATCACTAAGTGTACACTCATTATTCACTTCACTTCGACAGATAATTCGCTGCTCAGTAAGGTATGTTAGTTCTCAATACATTACATTCAAGATTGGCGCTGAGATACCAATATAGCCAGAAGATGCGTTGCTAATCGTCACCTCAATACTCAACAAATAAAGACGTACATCTAATCGAAGCAATCCAAACATGTCGAAGGGACCAGGACATGTCTCGAATCGCCTAGGCTTGAATTATGGAAATAAAGCAAGGAAAGTGATTAAATCTCCGTTACCGCCTATTCATAAGATGCAAGATAAGACCAAGGAGTTGGAACGACGTCTAGAGGAGCCGTACAATCAAAATGGGAAGATTCAAGATAAGGTCAAGGATTTGGAACGGCGCATAGAGGAACAATACGATCAAGATGGGAAGATTCAAGATAAGACCAAGGAGTTGGAACGACTTCTAGAGAAGCAACACAATCAAAATGAGAAGATGCGAGATGAGATGAAGGATTTGGAACGTTCTTTAGAGGAGCAAAACGATCGAAATGAGAAGATGCAAGATAAGATGAAGGATTTGGAACGCTTTTTAGAGGAACAAAACGATCGTAATGAGACGATACAGAAGACCCGAGATCAGAAATTCCAGTACTACAATGGTCAAATAGAGAAGCTGGATGAATCGGTCCAAAAATTGACCAATTGGACATCACAGTTAAAGGATTGTATTGCGGAAGATATTCAGAGGCAGTATCGAGAACGAGAGGCCCAGAACAAAATGCAGGATGTCCAGCAGGCAATGCAAAAGATCCTTGCCACTATCATGGAACAGCAGCATAAGCATATATCGGACATGATTGAATTTCAAACTCAGCTACCAGATATGATACGAGGAGAAATATCTCTTCAACAAGCATCGAGTCTGGAACCACTACTCGGCAAAGACCCAGATGTAGACGCCAAATCCACACAGTATGAACAGGACGATGCGACATATACCAAGAAGACTAAGACAAGGACAAAAGCAGTGATGGAATAAAATAATACCCAAGAATAGTGATAGATGGAGCGTGGAGAGACGAAGGTGTAGAAAAGCCAACACGATTTGTATCCACCGTTCTTCCAAAGAATCCAGAGCAGTGTGAAGAGAGAACAATGGTTCTCAGACATCCCTTTACGATTCCCTTCATTCCAGCATACAGCTCTCAATAGACTAGATAGTAGATAAAAAAAATAAAAAATTACAATTCAATCAGTCGTAACCAATTGAAGAACAATCGCTTCTTTTGAATTCCCTGTGCTGAGCTACTCATTGTTATGATTTGAATTTTCGCGAAATATTTCAACCTCGAGAAAACACACAACACAACAAAAACCAGCTATCAAGTATGAGTGATTACAACAATGACCAATACAATCCGGGCGGGGGAGAGAGATTCAAGAGAGAGGATGAAGATAGAAGTGATGAATCTGATAGATCATCAAGAGAGGATTTGCAGATAAAGATGGCAGACTTGCTCGCGCAAATTCAATCACTGACTGCGCATGTTAGATATCGACGTGATCTTTATGCACAAAAAATTCGATCAGATTTAGTAAGTCAATCTCTTGGACAGCAATCTGATCAATTATCACAAGATCAAGGTATGCCTAGTGATATGACGAGAAGGAGGCGAGGCAAAGCGAAGCGAAGCAAGGTCAGAGTATTCAACACTCTGCACACTAGAAAGACCTTAATTTACGGTTACTAGCCGTCCCGCAGCTATAGTTATACGAGACCCCGAGTGTGTATATTGTTACCAGCTAGGATGATGCCAGATGATTAACTGCCCAAGGACCATTTGAATGTAAACCAGCTTCTATCATGCATACCGTCGATTGATGATGGCGAATGAGAACCAATATTGTTTTGAGACTCATACATTTCGTAGCCCAGCAAAAGACAATGAGCAATAAATATTGTATGAATACGATATCTTTGCTAGGATAGACAACGAGAAGAAGAACCGATGGCAAATGAGCCATTATGTAAATGTTCATATCACAGAATGGAGGATCATTCTGGGATTATCCGGAGATACGTAAATTATGCATCGTCCTACTTTATGTCTTTCCCTTATACTTCCACTGCGTTGCCGTCGAACTGTTGCAAAAAGGAAAAAAAAACAGAGGCATCGATATTAGTATGCTGCTCAAAGAAAGAAGGAGTACACAATATTTCGGATACAGAATGTATCTCCATTTGTTAACAATAATCTAATGCTGTGTACATGCATTTGCAAGCTGTGACTGTATCAGTCTATACTGAACAACTTGTGGATCGCTGCCTACAAATGATGCCTGTACCTCTCAGAAAACAAATCTAAACCCCCCCGGAAAGACGTATAATGCTGTGCCTGTTCCTCGGAAAATACCTACCCCTCCTATTGATACATATCTCGCTTTTGCGCAATTCAATTAGAAAACGCTTCATATAAAATTCTCGAGTTGCGGAGACCAACACAAGTAAGTGCAAGTAAGTATGTCATATTCTCCCCTATACCTAGCTCAAGCTACGGGACATATGAAGTACATCTTAGTAGAATCTTCAAGTCCCAACATCGTCTTTTATTCCGGAGTAGAAGCTCTGCCGGCTCGCATGTCAGTCAGGTAAGAGTCCGAATTATGGCGGCGAGGAAATTTGGGTCGCATCCGTGGAACCATGAAAGTTGTTTGACTCGGACTCAATGGTGTTAATGGCGATGTGACCTCGCTGCCGTTCTCGACACCTGAATCATTGAACATCTCAGGTTCCTTTCCCTTTCCCCCCTCCTGTGATGATGAAGATTGATACGTCGAGTCAGCATAGTGAGAATGAGTATTATTAAGAGACCCCGAAAAGACAGGTGCTGCTGGGTTGAGTGTAGGTCGTAAAGGCAGAGATTGGTCTGGCATCGCACGCTGCACTAAATTTTCGAAGGCGCTGCGACCAAAATAGGAGTTAAAAGGGTTCGAATCCACCGTCGTATTTTGTGCCGTTCCACTTCCTAACTGCAAACCTCTCTGATATAACATGTCGTGAAATACTTTTCGTGCTTGTTTAGTTGGAAGTCGTTGTATTCTTTCTGCTTCGTACGCCGTTTGAAATTCTCGAAAAGCTCTGGCAGTTTCCGTCCGGAGCTGCCAATCTCTTTCCTGCTCTATCCACAAATTTGACCATGCCTCTTGGAGTTCCTTGTAGCTTTCCTGCAATTTTTCACATTGCTCTTGGAGTTGCAAGCATTCTAACTGTGATTCTTGCAATTCGGCTTGACATTTCTCGAGCCCCTTTTTTTGGACCTTGAATAAATTCTTCCATTCATGTTGAGGCGCTGGGCTATGCGACGACCCATTCGAGAGGTTCTCATGTGAGCTATTCCCATTCGAGAGGTTCCCATGTGAGAAATTCCCGTTCAAGGAGATTCCGTTCGAACGGTTCTTCTTTGAGCGGCTCCTATTTGAGTAGTTTCCGTTCATTGTTGTGGTTAATGATGGACTATTGAATGTTGTTGTTACTGAGAAAAAGTATGGAGTATTGAGTATTGTTGTTATTGAGAAGAATATGATGCTGAACAAGTCTTTAGAATTCGAATAATTGCTTCTTAAATAGTAAACATTGTTTGGTGCTCCTTCCTTCTTTACTAAGAGTGCAACCCCAAAAGTCAGGTGAGACTACCACATTAGGGTTGGAGTTCCAACGGCAGGAGTGCTTTCTAAGAAATAGAAGGTTTTAATATCTGATTCCACTACCTATAGATCCAAATGATTTAAAACACTGGTTTTGTATATCATGTTGTTTTCCAACATTGACAGTTCCTGATTATGGGTGGAAATTCGTACTATCCGATATCCTACCATAAACAAAGTATAATTACGAAGCACCTACAAACGACAAATAAAAACAACCACCGCGTGTATTTAAGATAGGATTTAATTCTACCTATATCAATGTATCCGATAATACGGAATTTATATACAAGCAAAATAACCTCAACGCCTGTCCCACCCAGTACCGGGTCCGTAGACTCGCCGGTCAATATCCATATCCATACCCAATGCTTATACATATGCAATACCATAACTCCCAAAAATGCTTGATTCCGTTTCGAACGCCAGGATGTATGCCCTTGACTATGCCTTCCCCATATGCTATGCCTTCCCCATATGCTATGCCGCCGTATTATGCAATGCTCAAACGCTATGCCTACCGATGTATGTACCGTCATTGATTAATCATATACTCTGTGCCTTCCAACCATTAAACATCACCGTTTCTTTCTTTCCCATTAACTGCAGAGTCGTTGGCACTCGTATTAACGGGATCATGCTCTCGGACCGGGTCCGAAGGCCCACTCACTTCCTCAGATTCCCCATCCGTCGAAATCGAAAATTCCTCCTGAACAGGCGTCATGGCCGCCACTCCGGCCCCAACACCAACCGTTCCCAATCCATCGGCCCCTTCAACATCCCACCAACTTCTATCGCCTCTTCCTCTTTCCATTACTACACCATTACCCGCCTGCGCCTCGAATCTCCTCTGCGCCAGCTCCTGATCTCTTCTCTTATACGCTTGTCGCGCTTCCCTAGCCATTTCATTCCTCGTTTTTCCCGGCCCATGTCTTTGTCTCTCCTTCCTCTCCCCAAAAAAGATAACCCAGAATTTTAGACTCCCGAAAAATGTTCGTTCCGTTCCGGGAATATGTTTCCACGGCTTCTCACGGGTGGAAAATAACCAACAATCCACAGCACCCTGTGCACAAATAAAAACTGTAGTTAATAAATTAATCGCAAACGGCGGATTGACCGCCAAATTATCATTGAATTGTAGAATGTGGGATACAAATGGGATAGTCCACATTCCCAAGTAAACCAAAGGGTAAATAAATAGAAATCTAAGTTGACGGCGGATTTTCTCTCGTGTGCGTATCATTTCCGACACCGTTAAATCTTGACCGCGAGAATTAACAAGATGCATATCGTAAGGATTTCCTTGTTCGGCTGATCCATTTTGTTGTTGAAGGGCAGCGGGATGTATGTAAACGGAACCATTCGAGTCGAGAGACAGTCGCCTGGCAATACTTTCTCTCCATGATGTACTTCGCAATTGAGCGTGAGGAAGTGGATTGAGTATTTGTTGTGGCATTAAGAGAGCTGGACTGGTTATCTCGGATACGATTTGTGGTGTTGATGCTCCAGCGTATGAGTCAGTATCCGGTGCAGAAATCTCTGATGGAGGAGATACGGAGTGAGTTCGATTGCGAGAGTGGAATACTGAAGTCCACATAAATTGATGAGCATTGTTCCTCATATTGGCGAGGGATTCCAAAGTTGACGAGGATTGTTTCCTTCTCTCGGTAACGTAAGCAGCGGAAGGACGCCTTATTTCAGTCACGGGTCCATTAAGAATTAGAGCTGGAGGAGGCAGACTCCTTCGTACTTGATTGCGTCTGGTCGAATCACAACTATCTTGAGAATGACTGTTCTCGAATCCACGAAACCTAAATCGTACATAGAAATATATCGAAACATAAACAGTGACAATGGTGATGAAAATAATGTATCGAGGGATCCAACTTAAAGCCAACCGATACCAAAACGGTCGTACTGGTAGATAACAATACGTTCCTTGACCAACATAAGCTTCATGATCATTGACAAAAGCCAGAGACGCTGTTAACAGTGGAAAGACTATCCAAATGGTGTAAGCTATCCTACGATATGGATAGAGACCCCCTTCACCAGACGAGGATCTAGGTCTGAAAATATACAACGCAGTATGTACAGCAACCATCAGAACCGAAATATCTATACTCGAATCAATAAATGTTGATACACGTATGGAATAGTATCTCAAACCTGACGCTTCAATTCCTAAAGCTAAGAAAAATCCACTTATTTGACAAAATTTGGAATCATCTGCTACAGGACCATGTAAAAAGATAACGATTGGAAAAACCATAAACCACAAAGCTTTAAACATATCACTTTGAATTAATAGCATAATGAGACTAATCGGTTATCAGCACATGGTCATAAAAATGGAGGGGTAAATGGGGTAAAGCTCACTCGTGTCTGAACGAACGTCTCATTCTAACAAACCAATAAAAAGCTAGAATCGAAGAAGCAACACTAGCAGTTGCAAATGTCAATGCGAGTTTTTGCAAAACCAATCCTTCGGATATCGATACATCTTGACCTTCATTCGTATTGTCTCCAATATCTCTCGAGGAAAATTGAAGCACAGCTCGTGCTACGTGTGTTGGAAGGGGTGCCATGGACAATATGGCATCTGAGTTTTTCGTCTCGGAATGAGGGGGAGGATGGAGGGGAATTTCGTTATATGTTATGGATCGGGCTTTTCCTTCCAACTTCTAAATTCCTCCAACATGATCACCAATGTTATTTTACACCATTATCGTGCTATCTTCTATGCTTTCGAGGTTGATGTATTATTGTATGATGTGTGTAGTACGAAAGCTTGTTGTACGGTAACGTTGACGTCAAAACTAATGGTACCTAGTTCTTCGTTGATTTTCTTTTGTGATGTGCCGCACCGAAAAATTCAAGATCTAAATTCCGAGACTTGTGAATCTATTGTGGTACTTTCTCTGAGTGATATAAGTTTTCTTCTTCAAACTTAATAATCGGCGGTACGCGTAGTGGGGATCTGAATTCCTACTCGAAAGGCTGGTCGGAAAGGTGGGCGAAAGAAGCGGTAAAAGGTTCCCTCGAGGTGGAAGTATGCGGACGGAGTATATTCCCCTATTATAGGAAAGTATTCGGTGTTTTTTGGAAAAGAAAAGTGTAAAAGAACGTAAGAGGATCAAACACGTCAAATTGTGAAGTATGTATAATAATAATTGCATGTACTAGATTACCTATAGATAATCGATGTTGAAACCTTGTTCCCGTTTTGAGCTGCGGAATTATTGTTGGGGGTTTTTTCCTTCTTCCTCATTTCGTAGACGCTGTAGATCATTCGAATCCAACACGAGAGCAGACTGACGCCAACCTACCGGTTGATGGAACACCTGACTATTTACAAAACTTTGGTGATTCAAGACGACCTTCCTCAGGGCCATTGTTAAGAAACATTAAGATGAAGCGGGTATTTCAGAAATTTGGGAACCAATTCATTTGAAAAAAAATTGAAAAATGTGAAAGCTATATGTAGATCGTTTAATATTAGTAGTTCACTATAGTATTGTGATATGTCGGATCTTCTTGAGTTAGTCGAGTACCCTCACTACTCCCTCTACTCTGTGTGGAAAGCCAAGCCAAGCAACGCAAAAAAGCATGGACGGGATTCTCTCTGCTCTGAGTCTCTGTACGTGATTGATCCAGGTATTTCGGGACCGTATAAGTGATCAATCTGAATCTTCCCTTTTCATTCTATGGTACTCAGTCGTATGAGTGAGTCTATTCATCGCTTCCTCTACCTGATACCTAATAAGCCTTGCATCCAACATGCATAAAATATTCACGATGACGACTGGGCTAGATATCGAGTACGGTCTTATTATCGCCAAATCCATGAAAAAAATCTCGATTCTAGGTCGATGCTCTTCTTCCAAATGGATTTGGTAGGGGTTGTGTGGTTCCGCTACAAAGGTACAAGTTTTACAGCCACCAATTTACTTTACCGAATTTTTCCCTGGGGCTGCACTGTTCATGAAGGGGTTGAAGTGATGGGTTTTTTTATATCTCCGATTCCAGGGTCGGATTGGATGGAACTCATTGGACCAAAAGGAAGATAGTTCAAAGCCCTGGGGTATCACAAGAGTCCACAAACACGAATTAACAAAATAAGCTTCGATAGTTAGGTATATATCTAATTTACCTTAATCAGCTGAATTTCAAAAAAAGATGATCGGATGGATACATAGATCCCAGATTATTCAGTCATCTGATATTCCTTCATCACAAGTGAAAGATACAACGATCAGCATATTTCCCAAATGTTCATCATTCGCCCACTATCACAGCACAGTCCATTAGCCGGTAGATACCCAGGTGTTTTGATTTTCATGTTCATGTCCATGTTCATGTCCATGTGGTCATGACATGAGAGTGAAAATCCTGCAAAACCTCTTCTTATTGCGCATTACATCCGCAACCTCCGTTCACCGACAATGTTACCAATTCTCTTCCCCGCCAGCCTAATAAAGTGGGCGAGTTCGTATGAAAGGGAAAACAGTTTGTCGTGAAAAACAACGCAACATCTGACCTTGACCGATTTTATGCGGTTCAAATTGTTCTAATGCATGACAACCCCGCATCGATTTTTTCATACCCTTGAAGGTCGCATAGAAGATCCTGAGGAGCTTAATTAGGATTATGTGCTAAGTCACGTGATTAAGATCTCTTCACCGAGCGGTTGCAGTGTCCCAAATCTAGAATTCTCTGCAGGAATTCTTTAGGCTTTGAGATGATTTGTCTCACACACAAGTGTGTATGACTCGTCAGTACTTCTTATCTTGCATGTATCAGGACGTCTTGACTCTCGGATGGACGTAATTCGTGTGCTCTGCCAAATTGATTGTAAGTATATGGGACCTCCATCAAACTGCTAGCGAATCGTGATGAGTGTGGCGATCCAGGTTCTTCGGTGACGAAAGTGCTTAAACTTGAGCGGTCACTTGGATATGTTCTATCCGATTGCTGGGTTAAACGAGCGGATCCGCGTTCTAAGTATGAGCCAATACTCAGGCTTGCTTCGTCAAATTCCATATCTTGAGTATCGTAAGTTTGATAAGACTGATGATGATATGATGGCGGATTTGATGATCTTTGTAGTGATGATCGCCGATTCGATGATCCTCGATTTGATGATTGAGAATCCAGATATGATAGCGGAAGCATTTGTCTGGATTTCCTCATATAATCAGGAATCTCCGTTCCTTCAGCCATTGGATCTGGTATGTCGCTAATGCTGAAAGATTCTTCGGGTCGTTTGAGCTCGTTTTGAGATGGATGCATTCTGACCTTGGAAGGGTTGTGGGCCGATAATTTGTATAGACTTCCGTCCGAAGGTTGAGTGCTATGCCCGAACAGAGACGGGAGAAATGTGGAGAAGAATGGTTTCGTAGCTGGGAGTGCGGTGCATATCTAGAGTAATCGGGGTTAATATCACAAATTGTTGATGTGAGACAACGGCAGATGATTGAGGGATTCTTACTATTCCTATGTATAAATTCAATACACTAGATATCCATAATGGATATGAGAACCAAGTTCTATCATATGATGAATATGTAGCGTGTATATACCATATCCTAACAACACCCGAAGCACAAACGACCAATCCAGCAGCGAAGAGGATGAAAAGCATTAATTGTTGACGAAAGGGTATGGGAAGGCTAAACACGGTAGGTATAGGTAAGAAGAAAACAAAGAAATCGGAGCAAGTATTAATGATTGCGCTTGCAAGTAAATGTGTTCGTTCATCGATGCAATTTTGAGGCGAGTAAGATAATTTCCAGTAGTCCGAAATGGGACTATTGTGTATGATCAGCAATTTTTTCAATCCTACAGCAAATCTGATCATCATACCTGCAATTGTTGACAATGACAACATCAAAAGCAATTGCTTCACATGCCACTACCACAATCATAGCAATAGCTAAATGTTTAAGTACACCGGTTCCTCTGGACATAACCCGCATCACCAAGATGAGCAAAGATATTTTCGTTAATGCAACAGCAAGTCCGAATAAACACTCTAGCAGTAAAGATATTTTGAGTCCAAACTCGGCATCACCCGGTGCAACATCCCAAATGTGGCGATTCCATTTCCAACGTTCCTGGGCGATAAGTGCAATAACAGCGCAGACTGTAGTCGGGACGAGAGCGATTAGAAGGAATACATCATCAATACCGAAATGTTTGGATAGATAAATCCGTGTAAAGGTTCGTAAACCAACCACAATGTATACAAGAGGAAGAAAAACGGCAGTTATTATGAGAAGTACGGGTCCTCTAGTTACTGGGTCGATGTAGTTCGGTTGCGGAAAGGTTGACAGAACTTGAGGTGGAGGGATTTGCATATTGAAAAATCGTTGAGTATTGAGCCAGCAATGCAATGATTTCAATTCCACCTACTGGGCGAGAGAAAAGGGAAACACTCTACCTTAATATTAGAACAGTTCGCATTATAGCTTGGACCTGGTCTCCATACGCGAAAATTGGGTTTTATCAGACTACTTGCTCGATAAGATGGAATCATTCACTACAAAGTTGCCCATAGACGTGGCTGCCGATGGCGGGATGAAACTAATTTATCTACTGGTACAGACTGTACGAACGCTCAGATGTTCTTCGGGATACTAAACTCATCGAGAAATAGATTGCAGGCACATATGGGTGCTCGGACAGTTCCCGTGAGAGTTCCAACGGAAAGAGAAAACTATCTCGAGTCCGAGAATCTAAATATGGTACGACATAGATTTCTGTTTGGGGTTCGTTCAACGGAAGATATTTGACTTTCTCGTACGGGGAGGGCTGATCAAGGGACGGTCGCCAGACTACAGATTGACACATTCCAGCAATTGACTACTTAAACTGTCACTGCACGCCCTACAAATGACAAGCTTTTGTCATTTCTAAGGTATATGATTGTGGCAAAGAAGCAAAGAAACAAAGAATATGATTGATCGGGAAATTCGAGTGGAATTGCAATGCGAACATGCTGTCTGTGCATCCTTAGTAAGCGAAACAAATGAACCACTTCAATAAGTGTATTACTCCTACATTTGCTTCAACTTCCATGGCATCTTGGTCAAATGGTCAAAGTATAACAATCTAAACTCGCTCTGTACCCTTTGCAGTTTCAAACTCGCTACCAAGGCACCATGACTCAAATGATTAGGGTCCATCATACCACGAGCTTATGCACAGCATACTGGGCATCACTGAGCGGCTGCAACTTCGCCGCTCCTGTACTTAACATGAACAGGCCCCTATATTCACATAGGATCTAGTAATACGCGGAGTATGACCCAAAGGTAGTATGGTGCTGTACAAACGCAAAGAGCTGATCGTTGACGGCGAACCTGTGCCGGATTTCCGGGATTCGTCTGACAAATCACATGATTACTGTGTAAACATCACTGAATGCTTTACATCGATCGCTACTCCTCAGAGAGTGGATCAGTGGTCTTCCGATGCCAGTGAACTCTCTTAGACGTAGTGATTGATAAACAGTCTTCCAAGAATTAGGCTAGGTAAGGAAAGTTGGGAGACTGTTCATATCACATGATCATGTCTCGACCTCAGAACTTAAGGCTCAATCAAGCCTCGAATAATACGCTCGAAGCGTTCAGTTCATCTCCTATGCAAGAAGAATGAAAAGCCGTAAACAGGCATGGTTTGGAAGCATTCCAGGATAGTAACTGAGTGAGTGAATATAACTAAAGAAGGCAAGCTGTTGGTATGATAAAAAGACAGAAAAGACTTCATCCGGTTCATAAAATGATAAGTTTGTGGTTCAAAAGTTTGTTGGAAAAAATAAAGTATTGGTGACAAGAGGCACAGATTTGGCAACTGCACTAGTGGCTATCACTTCACTCATACTTCAATCTACTCCGACTTCACCTTAGTTCACTTTTCACATATCCCCTCAAATGAAAACAACCGACAGCCAATCTTACGCTCTGCGAAAACATACCCAAGAAGCTTGAAGAAAGCTCCCCGATAACACCGAGAAAGGACATCGCATGGCTCAACATAACACCAAAGTTTCAAGATTTCCCAGAATTCCGTACGATATGGCACAGTGCATATTTGTGGTTCATTTCAAAGTACAAAATACGAACAAATGTGTAGTCAATGACGATAAAGAAGCTTGCAAAGCCGAGTCCTGATCTTTCAGATATGAGAGACACAGTGAAGTTTCACGCTGCAGTGTAAGTTATTCGAAACCGAATAAGAAACTTGTCGCAGCGGTGTCGAGATGGCAGGTCTCTCTTGCAACACCTCAGGGAGGAATTTTAGATTTGGTAAGACTTTTGAACGTGAATAGGAGCGAAGATGTAACAATGTAGATCGTTCATTTATTCGGCAAGACGTCATAATTAGTAAGATGAATTCTTGATACATAGACAAAAGTAAATCACATTCAAAGGATGGAGATTCCTTGGTTGGGTTTGGTATTCACAAACTCATATATATATAACAGCTAGTTTACCCCCAAAATCTACGGGTCATACTCGACTGAGCAGTCAGAGACCAAGTCGCCAGCCTTAACGCTTCATGTTATGTAGTATAACTCTCAGTAACTCCCATTAATTATCTTCTTCACCTCTGTCAAGATAACCATATGTCTGACCACTGATTAATCTACCATCCATGCCTTCCCACCCCCGCCCCCACTCCCACAACTCTAACCTCTACTCCCACACCTTTTCCAATCTTCTCCAGTTCAATCCTATCAACAACACCCCTTCCATCAAATATCCATCTTGGTGCTTTCATCCCCTCGACTATTCTTTTCCAGTCGATGACCTGCTCCTCTCTTACATTTGTGTTTTTGCCATACTCACATTTCGCGCAACTTTCTTCGCAAGGTGGCTCGGGATATGTCCTTCCTAGTGGATCATCTACATCTACCTCTGCGCAAGAATGCGATGATAGATATCTTCTTAACTCTACCAAATCCATTTCCGAAGGAAACCCGAAAAATGGTCTCGGGTCAACTACCTCCTCACTTTCTCCCTTTGTAGAATTTTCCAGCTCTCTACAGATAAGAAGCGCGTCTGCCCTTTCACAAGTCATATATAAATCCTCTTCTACCCTCACACTCGTTACGTCTTTTAGCTCCTCCGTCAATACATCTTCGCCACACCCATCATCCCAAACCACAATTTCCCCCGGTCTCTCCTGGCCCAACATCCTAATTACTTCTCTCGCCAAACTCTCCCTCACATCCCCAGTTCCCCTCTTAAAAGTATACCCCAATACCACTACCTTCTTTCCCCTCAATCCACCACCCATCTTCTCTACAATTCTCTCCACCCATCTCCTTCTCTGCCACTCATTAACCACTAATACACTCTCCCAATAAGCCACCACTTCATCCAACCCCAATCCCTCAGCTAGATAAATCAAAGATTTGATATCCTTTTTAAAACAACTCCCTCCGAATCCAATCCCCGCTTTTAGATATTTGCCCCCAATCCGAGAATCTAGACCCACAGCTAAAGATACTTCATCAATATCCGCATTGATAGCTTCGCAAATCGCGGAAATACTATTGATCGAACTTATTCGCTGGGCTAACATGGCATTGGAAACAAGCTTCGATAGTTCGGAAGAGGCAGTGGTGGCGTGGATTAGTTTTTGAGAAGGGATCCAATGGTAGAGGGAAGCGAGGGAGTGGGCTGCAAGGTTGAAGATGTGAGGGGGAGAAGAGCCAATGAGAATACGATCTGGATGTAAGAGATCTTGAACAGCGGAACCTGCGGATAGGAATTCGGGAGATGAGAGGATTGAGAATATCTCATTAGGACGGAGAATTGCTAGCTTGAAGGATGTGTCAATCATCTTTCTTGTAATAAGGGAGTGGGGGATGCTATACGATATCTTTGATAAATTCACCAGTTCGACCAGGCACGGTACTTTTCTCTACGATTATAGCTCCAGATTTTGCATATTTTCCAATATCTTGCACAACTGATTCTACAGCCGTCATATCCGTTGCTTTTCCGGCACCTATTCCATAAGTCTTTGTGGGTGTATTGACTGCGATCATTATTATATCTGCTTCGCCTAGGCATTTCTCAATATTGTCCGAGAAAAATAAATTTGGTGATCGTGCTGGAATGCAAACATGATCAGTATGTTCGGATATATTCTCAGATGATGATTCAGCATTTTCAGTCGACGGATCATTGGAAAATGAGAACGCTCTCGATCCATCACGACATATACGTATAATCTCTGGTAGATCTGGTTCGTGGATTGGTAAGTGTTTTGAATTCCATTGATTTATGCGAGAAGTATCTTTATCGACAACTGTGAATTTTATTTGTGAGTTTTGGAGCGCGAGGATAGCTGCTGTTGGACCACCTAATATCCAGATATCAATACAGTTCCTCGTCAGGATGATCTGGGAACTGGAAGATTACATACCAACGTACCCCGCACCGACACAACATACATTTTGTACAAGGCGATGCGTCGAGTTTTCACTTCTAAGAGAATTTTCGAATGCCATTCCATCATCTAGACTCAAAGCTTGTAATAAGGGACTGAAAGTAAGACTGCCATCAGGTGTTGTGGGTGCGGTTGATATATCGTGGGTACTCTCGTCTGTATCTAGTGGTATCGAATCTTTTAGTGGCATGTTTGGAGATTTATGTCTTCTTTGAAATGTGGAAGATATCTAGAAAGCGCATATACTATTTGGAAAAGCTTGAGAAGACTGAAGATCAAGATCTAAGGTGCTGAAATGTGGACCGTATGAATTTAAGAAAAGAACAGAAACTGTGGTGATGTTGAGAATTTTTTGACATGTGAGTTTCTATAGATCTATAGTAGATAAAGATAATGAGGATGGAAGCATGAGAAGAACGGGAATTGAGGATAGACTAGGAAGGAACAGATGATAGAAACAGAAGGTACACTTCCACAACTGAGAATAGTCACCCTCCGTCATATCGTAGAGATAACATCATGAAGATATCGATAAAACTCCCTAAAATTCGAATCACTCATCACCAGGACATAATCACGAAGAAATCCTAAGATGCTCGACAAAAAACGATAGCCAACAAATTCTTACACGTTGACAGCAATACTGGTTCATGACTCATCTTAAAACAAACGATACCGTTGGTAGCATGTTTTTCCCCAAGACTGATTGTCCTGTGACAAGACATATGATAAATGTATATTTTCTAGATGAAGTAACGAATAATTGAATTGTTAAATGCTTTCCGAAAATCAGGACCAGGAATTTCCCCACGTGGACCTATGATCTTTCCTTTCATTGGTTGAGCGAGGTTGTAAGATCTTACAAACAAACATCCAATAAGACAGAGATTGTGCACAGCATGGAATACAGCATTATCAAAGTGTGTAGTCAGGACATGCTGAGTAGAAATGTGTCTAAGAATTGATTGCTGGGGGTGAATAATGGGAATCGTGATATAACGACCTAGGCGCGTGCCTGGAGAGTCTAACCCAATGAAAGACCTTATCAGTTTGTTGGTTGGGTATCACTCAAAGATTTGCCTTTTTTTTTAACAAGATAATAAAGTCGATGCTCCTCTATTGGCCTCAAAATTTTCGGAATATAATTCCAATACGTGGGATAAATGGATTTGAGAATGGACCTATCCAAAGATTGTCCAAATCCAAATACAGCTCTAAACTTCCCAGCAGCTCTCAAGGGAAAGCGCATCCTCCTCGCCACAGAATCATTTGGACCTGTGAATGGTGTGAGCAGAACGACTTTAAACTTGGTGGAATATCTTCGCAGTAATGGTGTATCTGTCGCAGTTGTCGCACCCCATAATTCAACCGGAGCAGTTCCAATTGCTCCCACAACACACGATACCAATCATGTCGAAGTGAGATTAAGAGGATATCCATTACCTTACAACCCCGAACTTTCAGTTGTTTATCCTGTGCGTTTGTCGCAACTATATACTAGGACCTTTGGATCAAAACCAGATTTAATATACCTTGCAAGTCCTGCATCTCTGGGATTCCAGATCTTGTTACAGTTAAGACAGCAGCAGAAAAAAGAGCAAGTTCCCGTGCTACTGAATTTTCAAACAGATTTATCAGGCTATTGCGAGATATTGTTTCCAACACCATTAAACAGATGGGCAGTTTGGGTATTTGGAAGTGTGCAAGGGTATCTTTTTCGATGGGAGGGTGTAAAGGCAATATTTTATCCAAGTACATTTGTGAAAAGATATCTAGTCAAGACAGGTATACAGGTGGAAAAGATGATGAATTTGAGAAGAGGGGTTGATGGTTTTATGTTCCATCCCTCGAGACGATTAGAGAAATATCGAAAGGACTGGGCTCCGAATGGCGAGCTTATCATGATCTGTGTAGCTAGACTTGCACCAGAAAAGGGGTTTGAGTTCTTGAGTGAGGTAGCAGAGGGGTTGGTCAAGAGAGATTTCCCTTTCAAGCTCATCATAGTGGGAGGCAATCAGAGCCAAAGCGTTGAACATGAAATAAAAGATTTGTTCGCAGACCTAGTGATGAAGGGAAAGGTCCTCTTCACCGGAATGCTAAGAGGCGAGGCACTAGCCTCAGCTTATGCTTCTGCTGATATATTTTTGCATTGTTCGATTACCGAGACCTTCGGTCTGGTAGTTCTAGAATCAATGGCGAGTGGTGTACCAGTCATTGCAAGAGATGAAGGAGGGTAAGTTAAGCCCGTTATGGACTCGGGACAAGCTGACTATTAATAGGCCATCAGAAATTGTTGCAGAGAATAGATCAGGACATTTGGTGGCCCCATCAAACCTTGAAGGATTCGTCGAAAAAATTCTCAAACTTGGCAACGATCTTAAATTGAGATCAGCCATGAGCATTGAAAGTCGAAGAATGGCGGAAGAAGCAACGTGGGATAGTATCGGCAATCGTGTGGCATGGAAAATGGCCGAAACATTGGAAACAATCAAATCGACAGATACTATTCCCAAGGTTAGAATACCGTTGTATAGTTGGTGGCTGATCAATGATGAATTGAGAAATCTGTTGATATCATTCATTGTGGATGCAAGGCTTCTTGCGGGACTTGGAATAATCTGGGGAGTTTGGTTAGGTTTGATTGTAACGTGGATATTAGTCCGAGTATTGCTTCGTTTGAGGACGTATGCAGATAAATTTTTTAAGTTCTAAATTAGAGCCGAAATTTGTGATTAATGTAAAGTCAAGATTTCATACCACATATAATTTGTTCATCTACTCCAGTATTCTCACAAAAAGCGGGGATACATGCCCAGAAGTAAAGCATCTGTATGTTCACGCTAAAGCTCATGTGTTAATGCTTGAATGATGTTCATAATCATGTCAATGAATGTGCTGAATGACAATAAAACTCCAGTGTATGTGATCAGTTTGATCGACGCGGGACAGAAGAAATAGGATACACAAAGTTGCTAGACTAACAGTAACGCAAGAATAGATCAATGCGGTAAGAGTATTGCTAATCCTAGAGGATTGCTGAAGTCCTTACTAAAGCATCTCTTCAGGCAAAGCATCGCTGCATTTGTGATGAGCTTCAGAGGCGTTCTTTTCGATATTAATGGAAATTGGTTATGCTGTGACGCAGATAAATCCTACGATGAATGCATATGACGAAAGCAAGAAGAGAATTCGACAAAGCCTTTGAGTACCCTCTCATCTGGCGAAGGATATTGAAGGAGAAATCTGTTCCCAAGATAATCAATATCAGAATCACTATGAGAATTTCCTGGACAAGAAGACAATTTGTACCGCACCAAGTCAGGCGGTGAGTGTGCAGAAGGAATGCACATAACCATGTGCCATGAACTAAGATGCTCCTTCTTACTTTGATCTTGGCTGGTGCTCACATGCTTGTGTAAATTTAGCTTTGCGATACAAACGGCCTACTGTTGACCCCACTTTGGAGGCTGAGTATAAAATTGTAGCAAATGTCATGCGATGGCAAAAGTAATCTTGACAAGCTGACTTGCGTCGCAATGAACCGAGCGACGAATGAAGTTTCAAGATGTAACGGTGAAAAGCGATACTGCAGGGTATAGGAACACGTCAGTAGGATGAGTTCGAATTGTACAGAGTACTGCCGAGTCCCGACACGTGAAATAGAAGATACTCGCATCCTCTGCTTTCATTCACCTTAGACTTTCATCGGATTTCACAAATGATATATTTGCCGACTCCTTGAGTCTTGGCCGATTGGATCTGGCTCAGAAAATGACATTGAATGGTGGCAAAGTGTGGCCTACCCAAAAATGTATACAAAAAATCGTAAAGCATGATTAAAATAAAGAGAGGTCGCTTTGTCTTATAGCATGCTATTATCGAATTAGAATTGAGGCTCGTCGATGTCAGATGAGAAACGTGTTGATCCGGAACGATTGGCGCAGCAGATCTCATATTGATCTAACCAACGATTGAACGATCTCACCCAGGGCGCTTAGAGGGAAATTCACGACCTCTCATTTGTTTGCTGCCGCAAGAAACATCTTCAAAAAATTTCAACTGAAGAATCCTCAGCCAGTCTTTAGGAACTGGTGTAAGTTCACCCACATATGTGCGTGCAAGGCGGGAAGACTTGACATCCATCGAAATCATGTTGAAGAATTTGTGTCGTATCCTCCCGCCGTGTAAAATTATGAGTATATCAAATGATCATTGGAGAAAGTGGGATCATAAAATCCTACCACTTCACTGGTTGATTAGGATTGAAGTTTAACGGAGATGGGGAAGATTATATGAGGTTATTCGCGTTTCGTTGGTTGTCAACGTAAGATTATCATTGATGCCGTGGAAAAATCATGAAAGGGTCTGTGATGCTTCGGTCAAGTTGAAAATCCGGAAGTAGCAAATATTTGTTACTTAATTTGGCTAGTCTTATGAAAGCTCTGCCATCTTTTAACCGATCAAGCTTAGCTGATCTTATTTTATGCCAAGTTTGACAAGGTATTGATTGATGATGAGACTCGGGAAGCTTCACACCTCATTTTCCCAGACAAGATTCAGTCTCAACAACTCGTTTTGAAAACGCTGGAGCCTTCTTCAATCCAAAGGGCATAGGAGAGGTATGATTGATCGATAATTGTACCTATAATGGTCCTACGATGCCGAATCCTACCTTGGTAGAACGTCCTTTTTGGTGTAGTGGATCATATTTTCCTATCCCCAGATTAATACTCTGGATGCTTCATTACTCTAAGCGCTCTATTAACGGTATGCATGTATTGACAAGCGTCATCTGTGCCGCCACTCATATGAAAAGTCGTGACCTCCTTGTGTCGATCACATTCACAAATGAAAAGTCTTCCAATCAACATTATCTGTGAAAAGCTTGACCGCGCATCATACGATGGTCTCACTGTCTCAACATCGCCATAGGACTGACCCTCAGACGTCTCGCACATGCTACACCCCTCCATAAGTGGAAATGCTAGTACTTCCGATTATGGAACCATCTCTTAGCAGACAGGGCTAAAGTTAACCTCCCAAACCAAGAACCGTCAAGTCCGACACAATTTGTCTGGAGTTGCTTACATGCTCATGCCCATTTTGTATCGATGAGTTGAGATCGCCCCCTGGTATGAGCTTCATATCGTTGTTTTTGCTTCCGAATGTCTACGACTTTTTGTTATGGAATTCGTATTTTTCCATGCTAAGCCTGTCTAGCATTTTCATATGGCATGGCACCTTTAGACTGTTCCTATCCTTCTTGTTCCTTTCTTCTTTTTTACATTCATAATATTCTTCTTGGATTGGCAAACTAAACAATATCATCGCCACTTCTCCCACTTCGATTCTTGGGCAGGCCCATTTCCTCTTTATACCTTCTTTTCTTTTTGAAGTTGTTTTCTACCTCTTGCTTGAGGCAGGAAATTGTTTACATTCTTTCTCTCCGCCGGTCGGGTCATTCAGATTAAAATTTACTAATCTTTAAACCATATCTTGGATCTTTCTTACTCGCCGGTCTCGACTTTTTTAATCAACACCGCCCATTATGTTTTGGCACGCAGCCGTAACGGCATCGCTGCTACTTGCCGGTCATGTTAGCGCAGGAATTATGGATATGAAGCCAGTCGTTCGTCGAGATAATCAGGAGGAGATGTTAAGGCGATATATGGATAATATTATTGAAGATCGCCGGAGATCCATCACGGATGCTCCAGCAACCACAGCAGCTACGAACGCTTCGGACTGGAATACTCAAACTGAGGCAGCATGCACTCAAGCGCTTGATTTATTGAATGGACAGGCTACCAATCCATCTGGTTTGGCAGTTTGTTATAACTTGCCATATGCCGACAACAGTACTGGAGTTTTCAAGGCCGACCTCCGGATTTATAATGTCTCTGCTCCCACAGGAACATTTGCCAATATTCCAAGTCAGGATGTTCAGGTTGGATTGAGTTATGAGGGAGCTACAGTATCCGCTGTTAATATGTCGACGTTGATGGCCAGAAGCGATGCTACATCTATAATTTCATGGCCACGAGCAAATTCAAAGCGACAATTAACAACAAACACCACCACGGGAAGGACCATAACTCTAGTTCAATCATATGCTTTTGTTGGTCAAATGAATAAGGAATATATTGGCATGGATATGGACAGGTATGTTGAATTCCAAGAATCAAAAGAATTTCAATCTGATTTGTTTTAGCTCAACCATGGAAGCACTATTGACTCCAACGGTGACTTTGACTGGCAGAGATGTCTCCGGTGGAACCGTGAATACAACTCTTAATACCAACCAAGCATCTTTCGTTAATGGTGAATTCTCCACACAAGCTGCTGGAGTCACTAAAACTGTCGTCCAACCACCTATTCAAACTCTCGTTGTCGCCTCTGAATCTCCTTTCGTGGTTCCAGGTCTTAACATTCTGATCTTCCCAATTGGTGGTGTCATCACAGGTGTATGGGCAATTCTATTCATTGGTACAATTTCCTACGGTACCATCGGTAGAATGCAATTCAGAGACCAGTTCAGATCAAGAACCGCTAGAGCTCAAAAAGAAAATATGTCACGAATCTAAATAGGCTTGGGATTATCAAAAGGTTTATGGGAAGTGTACAAGATTTATTTTCTAAGAGGGGGAGCTATAAGATTTATAGAATTTTTGCGCGAGTAATTGAGAAAGGTGGCATTGGAATGGAAAGAAGGCATTTTTAGGGGTGGGATGAATATGACATGCCCGGGGTAGCCAGCCAGGAGCTCGAGTTGATGGAGCGAAGATTTCTTCTGGAGCCTGAATATTGAGCGCCCTCCCCCGGGGGCTACAAATTCATAAGCTACGATATCATTATTACTTCTTTTTTTTTTCTGTTTGTGGTTGAAATTAAGACTAGCAATACTACAATCACGAGACACGATCATTACCTCAGTTTAGAATGTATAATACGATTCAAAATAATGCAAAATCGGGTTGATTTGATTTTTATATATATATAGTCCAATGGGCAATCAAGCTTTACATTTGAGAACTTACAGCAAACCGCAAGATTCAAAGACGACGTGATAACAATCACAACCTTGGCGAACAGCCTTATAATTTACTTCTTACTCGAGCTCATGAACTCACGAACCACATTTCTCCTGCAATCCTCCCGCTGAAATATACGCGAGATTCGGTATTTACATATTAAAAGTTCACACCACCATGCGGTGTCCCGAACCTTTATTTTTCTTTACTTTTCTTTCGGACGTTGATCCTGAATTTTAAGTACCGAAATAGGTGCCTTACGTACAGATGTCTAGAGGATGGGATTGGTTGTAGAAAAGCAGAATCTGGAGCTTGAAGTTTCAGATGCGCGACGTGTAAGAGATCTGTGCAACTCGAGCGAGTTTGGCAAGGATGATGACTCCTGTGTTTAAGATAGAGTTTGAGGGGACCTGAGCGAGTCGCTGGTGGGGTTTGGCGGCTTTAGATGTAGGTAGCGATACTGGAAAGGGTTTAAATAAGGGATCAGTTCGTGCGGTTTGAAGAGAGATAAACGAAACAGAGATTGAACTGGGCTTGAAAAGGAAAGGAAGGAATTGTGCCATGCACTCGCTCAGACGGTAGTAAGGGTCGAGCACGTGCGCGATCGAGTTTACGGTCAGGTGACCATGACGCTCGGACGTTGATGTCGTGAATTCAACCCCTGGCTTTCGAAGAATGATGTGGAAGCACGACGGCAATCCACGACATCTTCAATGCCATATTCTACCTTGCTTAGAGTTATTCGATTGCCGTCGGCGTTTGAGGTCGATGATATATCGAAAGAGTGGCAAAATGCCTAGCCAGGGAACATCTCAAAATCCCGAACCTCCATCGCTGCGCCGATGTTGAACAACCCTCGAGCACTAGGGGCTACCCTAGGTGTAAATATATTGTCTGAGCGATCATGAGCGATCAAAGCATGAAGTATGAAACAATGCATCTCATGCTTATGTTTATACTAGCAACACTATTTGATGAAGGCAAGTATCCATTGTGATGGTTTTTAGTGAAACTAGCATGATCCTTTCAATCTTACTCTAAGAACCTTTTCGAAAGAAACGAAAAGCGTCATTTCTGAGTTGTCCTTTTGAATCCGTTTCCTGTTTCTGTTTCTACATACTCCAACAGCGACTGGATCGCATTGAATCATCGGAATTAATTCTTTGTGATTGGATTGCTGGTGGTATCATACATTCGTTTCTATATCCATATATTTCATCCGAACTTCTTGAAATTTCCGTTTGTTCCATTGGACATTGTCTCAGCTGAGAAGTTCATCTTTACATACCTACTTATACTATACTGCAAGCTTGAGATCGATCACTCAATCCGAAAGGAAAATGGTTTCGGTGGCAGAGTTAGTCACGAAATTGCATTCCAATATTGATGAAATTCACAAGACTATCGCTTTAATTAGCGACACTTCGAATCATGATGCGGAAATTACACGATTAGAAAGAGATCGCGATGAACAGCTTCAGCAATTGAAGATGGCTCATGAAATCTCAATGGAAGAAGGAGAGGAAGCACGACTCAAACAGGAACAAGAGATCGAGGAACAAATCAAGAGAGAGGAAGACGAGATAATAGAGAGGAGGAAACGTGAAGATGAGGAGAGAAAATCGAGAATCGAAAATGAAGTTAAGGAGAGAGAAAAGGTAAGGCAAGAGGAGGTAGAAAAGAGGAAGGCTGAATTCCAAAGTCAACATAAAGAAGTTGAAGATGGAATCGATGAAAAAATGGAAAGGTTAGAGGATGAGTTAGAGCAGCAAATGATAGATGGGCAAAAAGCTTTGGAAACTTTAGATTCTGCGAGAAGGGTATGTTTGTATTATATCAATTTTGTCTGGGTGTTTTTCGATTTACTAATATTTTTGCGAAAACAGGAAATCAACAGACAAATTGACGAGCAACTCAATATTCCGACTGTACTACCTAAAATTCAATACAAGAGCCGCAGAAAGGTTGTATTGAATAATCAAGAGCCAGATCTAATATCGGGAAATCAGAACAGCAAGGGCACCGAGGAGGATGCGGAAAAGAAACCGATTACAAACGAAGATTTAAGTCGTGATGTGAACGAGCACAAAGATGAAGATCTTCAGAATAATGTAGCTGATACTAAAGACAGTGAAAAAGACCTTGTGGTGGAGCCAACAAAGGACTTAGAATCTCAACCAGATTCCTCACTCTCGAGGGAGCTTGTTCCCCAAGAGCAAGAGGAGCAATCACCAAATCTTGAGAATATTGAAGAATCATCGCAGCCTATCGAAGAAACTTCTAGCTTAGTCCCTGAGGAGCAGCACATCGAGCTTCAAGAGGTAGATCAAGCTGATGAGCAGCCCGAATTTGATAACATTGCGCAAGGTAGTCAAGATCATTTCGAACTAGAAACATCAGAGCCTGCAGAAGAAATGACCAAGGTGATTGATGACGCGCCTGAGCCTTCCCAAGAGGATACACCCGTCGGGGCTGATGATATCCCAGAAGAACCAACTGGCTTGACTCAGTCAATTGATGTTCCACAAAATGAGACCATCGACAATCTAGAGCAAGATCATGTATCTCAAGAACCAGCAATGATCAAGGATCACATCGAAGATAGCCAATCAACCGAAACTCCTCACGAAGATGGAAACGGCGACTCAAAGCAAGACAACAGTCTAGTAGAAGCACTAAAAGAAGCCGAGACTGTTCCAGTGCTTGATCCACATGAATCTCCTGAAGACAGAGCAGCGAGAGAAGAAATAGCTAAGCTAAATGAGGAAATCAGACGTGCTATGGAGGAGGAAGCAAATGAAGCAATGGTTCCTCATCTGGAAGCCAAGGATGCTTCTTCGAACGCACAAATTGCAGAATCGGAAGCGCCACATGTTCAAGAAACTGTTGAGGCTGAAAATCTTGCCAATGAAAACGTTGCAGAGGACAAGGACTTTGCAGAAGAAGATACTTTACCTCAAGACGACAGCACACCAGTTGCCGAGGCTTCTGACATTCTGATTGAAGATGATGAATCTGAACCAAAGGCAATCCCCGAGACAGTCGAAGTTGACAGCGTCCCAAAAGATCAAGTTGTCTCTAAAAGCAATGAATCCGAAATCGAAAACAAAGAATCTCTCGAACCAGAAGTGCAAGCGGACGATGTAACACATGATCCAATCCAAATTGAAACCGCAGAGCAAGTTCTAGCTGGGGAACCTTCTTCGGAGGAGCCTTCATTAGAGGACGCATTAAATGATGATCTTCCACTTGAGAATTTTGAAGCGTCTCGAAATGAGACATTGGCTCTCGATGAACCTGCGAGTGATGCCCAACACGGCACAATTGACGAGATGCCCTTGAGCTTGAAGAATAAGGCAATCTTATCTCCTATACCTGATGAAGACTTAACCACTACCATCAACGATCAGGGTGACTCAGAGATAGAGAATGGCGATATTCTGATGCCCAAGGAGCCTGCAATCCCAAGTATACAAGAAGACACCGACCAAGCATCAATTGAAGCGAAGGAAATCCACGACGACCTAGAGCCGGACCACAATGAAGAGTCGAACATTCTAAAGGGATCCATGGAGGAAGCCATTGAAATACCACTTCCAGAACCAGTCGATGCAGAGGTTGAGCAACTGAATGAGGCACCAGAGATAATTCATGATGACTCGGAACCTGCCAATCAAAGTGAAAAGATTGCACCCGAGGAATCTGAAGCCAAGGCAATTTTAACGCCACTACCAGAGCCAGCAGAATCAGAGAGCGCTCAGCTCAATGAGGAACCAGCACCAGAGTCTGAGCTCTTATCAAACAATCTACCAGAAGTTGACCAAGACCAAGAGGAAGCTATCGAACCAACAAATACTGAAGATGCTATCTACGAACCTTTGCCTAATTTGACTGAAGACACACAGCCTAGTATGGCCGAGCAAGATATTGCTGGCGAAGAGTCCACAGATGCCAAGGCGTTGGAACACGAGAACAAATCTAAAGACGAGAACGTAACTCCAGACCAAGATTACACGGAGCAAATTAAAGAGTATGAAAAGGACCTTGAAGGTACTGCAAGCATAGGTTTGAAACCTGAAGACGCCGAAAAACAGGAAACGTTGTCAGCTGTCTCACCAGAAGCGGGAGAAGCGAGAAGCATCCCCAATGAAACATTTCCACAGCCAACTCTGGATGTGGGGTCAGCAGACATCGAAGGCAATGAGGATTCTGAAACTCATGTAATACCTACCGATTTTGAATCTGCTAGTAAGTACAATGATGCTGTCGAAGAATCTACTGTTCCGTCGCAAGAGGAGCATTATGTCGAAGATACTGATATTGGTTCTATTGTAAACCCTTTAACCGATACCAATACAAATCAGGAAATAGAGCTACCTGAAACTCGTGATATCGCTTCAAATGACACCGTCGAAGGGACTGAGGTAGCTGCCGATCCGGTTGTTACAATCCCCGAACAATTCCAAGAGCCAGTTGAGTATCCTGATGCTGGTACACGTGATCTGAATGTACCAGTCGAAGATGATATAGCGACAGACAAGAACCCGGATGAAGAAGCTCCTGATAGCGATTCAAACGAGATCTCGCAGACCATTGATGATCCTGTTCAATTGCCAGGTCATATCAAATACCGAATCGATGAGCCAGCTGTTGTCCAGCAAGAGAGTCAGCCCGTTACTGAAGAAAAGGGAACTGTCTCTGAAATTTCAGTCCCCAGTACCGAGAACAAAGATCTAAAGCTCGTCCAAGAGGGTGAAGAACCGCTGGTGGACGGTAATACTACTGAGCAAGTACCAATAGTAGAGGAAGTAGCCACACCTGAACCTGAAGAGTTCGAAGGCACTGGAGAAGCAGCTTTGAATCTTGATGTTGGATCACCACTTCCTTCGCCCAAACTTCAACAGACTGCTGGTGATGATAATGAAAGTTCCAACTTAGGTGACAAGGCTCAACAAGGGAATCCTGTTGATTCAAAAGAAATGAGCAACGAAGAAAGCTCTGAGGATAATAAACCTTCTCCCTCTCACATGATCGAAAGCGTGGAACCAATGGCATCAAGTCAAATACCTTCTGAGGATATTCAAATATCGGAAAAAGCAATTGAGACTGAGCCATTGACTTTGGAAAATGAGGCGCCAATACATCAACAAGTCGAAAAAGTCCCAGAGCAGACAAGTGATGATGCTATAGTGGAGACCCAAGAGCATCTTGAAGACAAGGAACTTCCCACCACTTCTATTGAGGAACCAGTGCATCTTGCTGATGAAACACCATCGAAAGAGAGCACAGCAGAACCTGAAAGCCAACAAGATACAGATTCTGCGCCTGAGACCATTACCTCGGTACCAGAGATATCTGCCCTGGAAAGCTTGAATGGCGAAGCATCTGAAGTGCCGTCTGAGGTGCAACAAATAAATGCCGAGAGACACGACGATAATGAGAAGAGTAGCGTCAATGACGAAAGTGCCGATGTTATTCAGGAAGAAAGAGAAATCGACGAGACACAAGACCATCACACTGAAGAGTCCAGAGAAACTGACCATCCTATTAATTTCGAGACAGAAGATGAGTCACACATAAGTCCAAACGACTCAACAAATTCTGAACCCATACACGACGAAATATTACCTCAAGAGAACGAACAGCCTGCTGCTATCGAATCAGAGCAAATCAAAATTGAACCAGTATTGAAAGTAGTTAATCCAGATATCCTACCTCCACCTCAACAAACACAACATGAAGACCCAGAAGATGTTCGTGCTAGAGAGGAGATTGCTCGTTTGAATGCAGAGTTTATGAAAGCTGTCGAGGAGGAACAAGCTGCCGAACAAGAGATTAGACCTGTTGAAATAAGCACTGAGAAGAATAGCAATGATATGGACAAAAGTGAACTTGTTGAAGCGGAGCAAGAGAGACCAAGAAGAGAGAGTGCCGAAGATATCGCAGCAAGAGAAGAAATTGCCTTCTTAAATGAGCAAATGAAATTGCTTAGTCAACAACAAGAGAATGGGGGTGAATCTGCTGAGATTGAGAGTGAAAAAGAAGAGAGCAAACCTCAAACACTCGAAAAGGAAGAATCATCGGGTACCCTGATCGAAACCCCTCAAAATGAACATACGGAAGAAGAAGATTTCCATACCGCACTCATTCAGCAAGATGAGCATCTAAACCCTTTCGAACAACCAGACGCAGTACTAAGTGAGGAACAAAGTGCTGAGTCAACCACAGACGAGCCAAATGAGGAAGTTGAAGCTTTACAGTATGAGCATGAAGATCGCAACCCAGAAGATTCGGGCTCAGAAGGTGAAAGGACCGAGCAAGGTGAGGAAACAGAGAATTATTCTGAAAGCGAAAATGAATGGGATCAATCCTCAGAAGAAGAAGAAGAGGGACCGCTTCCTTATCTTGAGACTATCCGGGAAGAATCACATGATGGTGCCTCCCGTGTCGGCGAAGATCACGAGGATGACGATGAAGATGAAGAAGACATGCCCAAGAGTAGATTCTTCCATCCACATTGGCAATATGAGGACTCCGTTGATGAGAATGGATTGAAAGAACAAAGAGAGAACAACCAGTTAGTATCAGAGTCAGAAAATCCAGCTATCAAGGAAATCTCAACAGGAATCCTTCAAGACGAGCTTGACCATCCAAGCGGATCCAATCTTGAGGTTTCAGATTCTGGGCCAATAAAAAGACCACAGACACCAATGGCATTGATGTTCGGCTCCGACTTCAAAGAAACGGAGTCACCTCACGAAGTCAGCGGCACAGATAAATTAATCGATGGCAGTCCAGAGGCACCAATTGAAAACGCAACTGTTTCCAATGCTACGGATCTACCACGGGTGTTGGAGCCAAGTCCTGACATTGAGGAAAATCGTGGAAAGTCAGAACTGGTGGAAGACGAAGATCTTGTCGAAAATAACAACCTCACTCCAAAACCTAAACCTCGACGTCCAGCATCTTTGTATCATCGAAATAGTGACTTGAGTCCAGAACACGAAGCAGTGTTCTCGAGAGTTTCACAGATCCGAAGCAGTCTAACACCTTCACCGGAACCACATCCGTCACCTGTATTGAGCCCTAGATCAAGATCTGAGAGATTTCCACCAGATGAGCACCGAAATTACTTAGATGCCTCTATCAACAACGCCTATAATGGATGGGGATATTCTCAAGACGTTGATCAGCAACAAGATTACAGAACTCAATTGAACAACGATAATGGTCGTAACCGTTCTCATACAGTTGATACAGTTCCATCATTCGAACATTATGCATCAGATGATGGTGAATCAGGTCCTCCAACTCCACCTCAACAACCACAATACTCTGATCCCGTGTCTCAACAGCCACACATCAGTCAGATGATGTCAACGGAATTTGAATCTTCTGAAGGATGGTCACATCAAAACGATGATACCCAGGATGATTCAGCAAATCAAGAGCAAAACCTTGATGAAATTATCAAATCTCCTAATTTACAAGATGCCGCCGAATTTGATCCTTTCAACCCACAAGAATACAAATCTCCAATTCCAAGTCCTGTACATTCATCTTCCTTTCACGTAAGCAACGTGCATGTGGATCAAGAATATCCTCCAGTCCTAGCACCAACTCCACCATCACTTATCCCTCCTGAGAAGATCTTGAGCTCTAATGCACCTGCATCAACCCCAATATTCACGGCTCAGACCCCAACTCAGACCGAAGAAAAATCGATTTCTCAACTGCCACCAAATCTCCATTCCGTTCCTTGGACACAGTCAGAAGATCCCGCCAAAACTGCAGCCACAACTCAAGAAAAAGAAACCGCATCCCCACAACGTAATCCAAGACCTGTTAGTTCCATCTTCGCTAGAACACGCTCTCTATTCGAAGCAGGAGCGAATGATTCAAACCCACCTCCTAAACAGAGACCGCTTTCCGGAATGAGCATTTTCAATGTTGGTTCACCGAATCGTTCGAATACTCCGGTTCAAACCAGACCACATAGTCTTTCAGTCTCGAGTTTGAGAAGCAGGAGTGAGAGTTTGTCAAAGCGATCGAGTCTGAGTTTTGGGGAAAATCTAAATACTAAGGCGGATGCAAATGCGAATACAAATGCCAATGCTAATGCCAATGCAAAAGATGACTATGATCCAGATACAGATGCGGACTTCTTGCCAAAGAGTCTCGATGGCGATGGAAGATTACCTAGTCCGGCCTTTGGATTACCGGGACATAGAAGTAGTGGAAGTCTTGATGGAGGGAAACTATATGGAGATATAGATGATCCCTATTTTACGAATGGTGGGGACAAGGGAAGTGCGGGATGGATGGGAGGTTCGGGAGTGGGGGTATGAGGGGTGCGGAGAGGGAACCTCTCCTGAAGGATGGAAATTGACTTGTTCGCCCTGTATCTTTAATGAAACAAAAGGGGTATAGAAGGACTAGAAAAATGAGATGGAGAGCTGGTAAAATGAGTAGAAAAGTGGGGGAAAGGGGGAAAGACAAGGTCGAGAAGAGGACAGAAGAGATTGAAGAGAGGAAAATGGCAAAAGGAGAATACAAATTAGCGTATGTGTGGGTAGAAGGATGGAGGGAAAGATTGAAGAGAACGAGCGGCTTGGTAGATAAGGTGAGGGAAGAGGGAAAGTATGAGGGAGAGGTTACGAAGATTGATGTAGACTGGTTGGAAGAGGGAGTCGGGAGGATGGGGACCTAGGAAATTGGAATGGGGATAAGGAGTAAGCGAGGACTCTGGTTTGGAAAGGGGATTAGGTCACTGAGATGGTATGAGGGATTGGAAAGGGGAGTCTGGCTTGAAGAGGAGTTTGGGAGTATATCTTAGATCTATGTATGTTTATTTATGTATATCCTCTATCTGGAGCTTTTAGCTAGCTATTCTGTATGATATTCAATCTATCAATCTTATGAGTTCAAGTTTAACCCCATCTTTCTCTTCTGTCTCCCCTTCATTAAAGCTCTTGACCTACCACAACACGTGATATACAACTCACATGATCCACTTTCAATCACGTTTTTCAGTACCCAGAATAATGCAAGACTAAGAATTCTTTCGCTGCTCACTCACAAACTTCTCAAAATTTTGTATGTAAGACGGTGTGGTGTAAAGGCGCCTGTGAACCAAAGGCTTCGGTGTAACAACAGATAGGCGGTGTAACATCTGCCAAGCGAGCTAAGTATGTAGGTACCTGGTTCCAGTCATCTATACATGCATATGAGACATACGGAATTTGACAAGCAAATGTTTGTAGGAAGGGAAGAGAATCAAAGTTTGTAGTACTATGCAGTGTGCGGGTGGGAAAACGGGTAGTGTCATGCAGGCTGGGTCTGACATCTGGCTATGTTGCATTGCAGTGCGGAAAAATAGATTTGGTGAATATACTCAGGATGTAGGATTCGGGATGCGTGATGCGGGTAGCCAGAAGCTGGGTTAGATGGTTTGGTATTTGGGGAATTGGGAAATGAGATATGCAAGGGAGGCGTTAGGAAACGAGCACGTCTTGATCGGGGTTCAAAGGTCGGCTACGTGCGTGAGAGCCAACTGTTGGATCTTGCAGTTCTTGACGTGTGAGTGAGTCATGGGAGGCACTGTCGGGAGTAGATACTGTAGCTTTAGGCAGGATGCGAGAAGCCGGTCTTTGATGCGTATGCGGTGAGGTATCCGGGGTAATGAAGATTACTAGAGGGCGTTTGAAAGCGTTCGAGGGACATTTGAGATGGAACTTGGAGGCTAGAAAGTGGTGTGCGCAGTATGTAAGAACTAGGTTTTCAATACTGTGTTCAACACGACTCTCTTTGGGATACCATGACTAGAGATTTGAGAGAGGAGAGAATGTAAGATCCGGATGTTGGGGCCTAAAAATCACAATAAAAAAGATGTTTGAACTCAGTGTCTATTCTTGAAGCAAGCTAACATATTCCTTGACCCAAATTGACCACGTCTCTTGGCGTCTTTAGCGCGGTCGATTGCCTACGGAGCTGCAAGTTGCAGATATCTCAGCCAATGTATTTCTCTAGCATGGGAAGCCCGGATAGTTCTGAGCATGTGGCTGTGTTGTGCATATTCTCAAGTTCCTTCACCTCTGCTGCTCTGATGTCTTCCGGCCGGCTTCAGTATAGAGGAAGTTCTGGGTTTTGAACCCACCTGCGCAATGTCAGTAGCCGGAGCTATAAACATGTGGCATAAGATTGGTAGGTAGGTAATTCTGAAGCTTTTGTAGCTCGCAGCTTGTGTAACATCTAGAAATTTCCCACAGTTGTTGGAATGGTGGTCCGGGCCATGTGGGCTGTATTGGTCGTTCGAAAAGATGAAAAGCCGCAGCGGAAAGATATAGTTTCGTCCGTTCCTAAGTGAAGGAACTGGAATCAAGTGGCCTAAAATCAATTTAGCATGAAATGAAGCTACTAAATAGAAAAGCAAACGGGTGGCTGCACAGACTTGAGTCTGGAACCAACTGACTAATCTGAAGCGCTTGTATTCGGAGATTTTCTGCTTCCATAATGTTAGGTAGATGCACTTTCAGTTTAAACAGCTGCGTTTGAGATTTAAGATACAGTATAGCCACAAGCTATGATTCATACGGGAAGCAAGATAGTTCCGGATGGGAGAGACTTTCCGAGCTTAAGATTGAATGAGACAGGGAATGAGAATACGCATGATACATCTCCTCTGCTGCCTAAAGAAGGTCATATAAACATCCGTTTGTTAGGTGTTTATTTCAAAATCGACTTGTGCTGCACAGTTTGTGAGATATCAAACTATCAAAGATGAGGTAATTACTTGCCAAGAAGTTTAGATTGCAGGACATTCTATGTAAGATATGCATGGCTTCAGATCTAGGTAGAGTGACTCAAATAAACGCGTCTATTAGTATACCTTATCCTTCAACTTCCCGTGTGTTGATCTAGAATACACAAGGCTACACAATCAATATAGTGTGAGATCGAATGAAGCGGGGTGTTTGAGATTTTTCGACACTTCTGAAAGCTTTATTTATGGCGTAATAAAGAGAAGGATCGAGAGATTCAACCACAAGACTATGAAGCGGTATTGGTTAATTCTCGAATTGGAAACTTACAGATGGCGACGTGCATCTATCTAACAACATGATAAAATCCCGGATCCGTCTTGCTTTGTAGTGTGCAAAGTCAAGTTCTTAGTGACTTCAAACTCAATTTTAGGGTGGGGACCAGAGTTCAACATACAGCAACACATTAAAGGAATTTATTCTGAGCCAATGATCTAGACAATCGTAGTATCGAGTAGATTAACCTGCCCCCTTCCTTTTCCATTAAAGCATGATTTTGAACCTAAAGATGACCAAAATTAAATGGAAGCTTTATCTTTGAAAATTTTATATCTGAAAAAGCACATGATCACTGATGACCCCTTGTATTACTATCCTGATACATATCAAACCTTGCGCTTTTGTAGATCGAGCCAAATATTCTGCCAATGAAATAAACCGCCAACTGTAACACGTTTGGGTGGACCAGGTATTTCCTTACTCGGAGTACATAACTTGAAGTCGAAATTACGAAAGAACTAGAGGTGTGTTAGTGTCAGTAGATGTTAGGCTATCAATTGCTTGATAGCAGGAAAGAGACATACCATCAAAGGGCCTTTCATCAACTCCATATACGCAAGGTCCTTGCCTAAGCATACTCTTGATCCATATCCCCAAGTGAAATTGTACTTCTCAAAAAGCTTGGCCTTTTCATCATCTTCGAGCCATCTTTCGGGGCGAAAAGTCTCGGCATCTTCGCCATATATTTCCTTGTCTCGGTTTGCAAAGTATGCGGAACAGCTGATTTCAGTACCGACTGGAATTACCTTGCCATCGATTACCAAAGGAGGTTGATGGGCCATTACTTCTCGAGGGAAAAGTACTGGCGAGGACGGAGTAAGTCGAAGGGCCTCTTTTATGCATGCAACATAAAACGGACAATACTTTGAAACTTCTGCGGCTGTTGGAACCGGCTGTGAAAGATACCCGTCCGCAAATCCGGCATCTATCTCATCCACCATCCGTTTATAATCGCTAGGCGATGAGAGAATGTCGGTTACAAGGGAGCTAAAGGATGTACCCGTAGTATCTGCCCCGGCAATTAGGACAACCAAAACTTCGGCCTCCAATTCATCTCGGCTCATAGGTTTTCCTTCGGGTGTTTTGGCCTCGAAAAATCTTTGGATGATTTATAGGTTAGCTGGATGCCGGATCTTGAAGGGCTAAGAGTACTCACGATTGTAGAATATCTACACGATCTCTTCTTTTTCCTTCCTCAATTTCTTTAATTCTCGCATTGATGATTTTGTTTCTCCATCTCATCAGCTGACCCATGCCATTCTTCATGTCTGGTGTTGCGGTAAAGAACCGACCTAATGGCCCTGATGTTACCCATTCTACGAAAGGGTACAGATGCGCCATGACACCAAATATCTCAATACCATCATGTACACTTTGAATCAATCCGCCCACATCATCTCCATTCTCCACAAAGCCTAAAGCTTGTCCAAAACCCACTTCACTGATTGTGTCAAATGCAAAATAAGTAGCCCAACTTGCCATATTCACAGGTCTTCGTGTCTCGACAAAAAGGTCATTCAGCTTTATAAGCCATGCCGAGACTATCTTATCAACGAGGGGTTCGGCTTTGATTATCTTTGAGTATGAGTAAGGAGGTCCTATAAGTCTTCGACGATAAGAATGTGCTTGATGGTCGCGAATACTGATAACAGGTTCAGCAGGAAAACCTCCATTGCTGTAGAACCTGGATTTGACTGCATTGCGGTGATAAATGATCGGTAGAGCGAGGGCTGATTTGACTAGAAGAGTTGTGGGTGAAATGCGTATTACAGGAGCTATACATGCAATGTTTCTTAGTGACCATAATCTTCAAGAGTGAATGACATCATAAGCACCTTTCGTTTCTTTGAAGATATTCTCATAGACCACCAACTCGCTTTGATTGTAGCTCTGATAAGTATACCAAAGTCTGGTAACGGTGCCCCAAAATGGACCTGGATAGTTCTTAAGGGGATGAAAGAAACGATAATAGACAATCTGATACAGAAAAGTGGCTAAAACCCATCCAATGATCAACCAAAATCCATTGGAAAGGGTCAAGTAAGAAGTGGCACTTGCTGAGACGGTTTGAGGGCTCTCCATTATGATAAGTCTTCGTATGAATAGCTCTGAAAGACTTAAGACTCAATTAACCTGGTTAGGAAGATTGTATGAGAGATGCCGAGACGTCGATGATTGAAGATTTCAATATGAGGAGCTCTTGCTGGATAGCGATGTATTTAGAAGAAAGCTTGCATGCTTTTATGAACAACTTTTTCTTTCACGTACGGCAATGACGAATTCATCTTACTTCCGCCGTATTTTCGACTCATATTCACTAATCGTCACTCACTGTACAACATGAACTTCCCTTTACCCCGCTTGATGAAACATTGGGAGCTCAGGGCTTGGAACAGATCACTTATACTTGCTATGATGTGTATAAAGGTTGATGAGGTTCATCGTGAAGTGAATGAAGGTAGGATTAATTCTTGCCCTGTCTGCGGTTAGACGTCTTTAGAATCAGACAGTACTATCAAAGATACTTTGATTGACATTAGTCCTAGAGGATGAATAATTAAGCGGTGACCAGAAATGGCGAATAACGGCAGAATCTCAAATCAATCTACCA